ATTTTTGAAATCTGATTGTATTTTTGGATTTGGAAGGTCCATTTGCTCCCTATAGAAGCTAATATTGCTGCATATTCCCATTGAGGTGACAAGAATTAGCAAAATAGTGGTTCGGGCGCTTTTCAAAAATAGTACCGGACGCTGTTCCTCTTGTGACGTCATAGCTCCGTGACCTGACCTGACCCGGTCAAGTTTCTTATACCATATGATAGCCAATACTTGCCCCAACATGCATGGGAAGTTTCATCACGATCCATCAACCGATGTCCGTACCACCGGCAGGAAACCTCGGGCGTTGGCACTCAGTTTGTGAAAATCCGGCCGGAGGCTGTTCCCTTTGTGACGTCATAACTCCGTGACCTGACATGACCCGGTCAAATTTTTTTTTATCAAAAGATGCGCAAGGTTTGCCCCATAAGGTACCCAAAATTTGGCGGCGCTGCGCGCCGCCGTTTTTGCACTATTTCCGAAAAACCTCAGGGTGGGTTGCACCAACCCCCCTACATGGGCGAGGGTTAAGGTTCATTCGATGCGTCTCGACCAGAGAAATACGTTTCTGGTGAAGGAAAGCTCGTGCAAGTTTAGAGTCAAAAGTTATTGCGGGAAAAAAACTGTTTTTGCAGAATCGTATATTTTGGACGCTTATGCCCCTGCAGGATAAACGGTGGACCTTACGTCAAATCTGAGGTCATGCTAGCGAAAGAACGTTAAAAGAACGTTTGATTGCGCCTCTCCGCGGCGCTATAGCTCTATCCATTCCTGAGCTATGGACCGATTTGTCGAAAATTGTCGAAGTTTGACTTATAGAAATTGGCGACATTTTACCTTCGATGACCTTTGGTGACCTGCCCTTTGGCCTAAACCTGACCTAAAAATGGCCGAAGCAGTTTGTTCCTTATTTTTTAGCTCTTTCAAGTGTCACCTACGGCGTGTCGCTACGTGGCTCAGGAGCCAAGTTAGAAGGGGTGTTCCCCCTTCCAGCAGGGCGTGGAAATCCAGGAGTCCCAGCGGGGCGCCGGTTAGTAGCTGAGCTGCTGGAAGTTTAGTCAAGCCAGTTTCCTACTACAAAACAGACGAGATCTAGTTTAAGTAATTTCCATCTGTTAAAACAGACAACAAAACAGACCCCTAAAGCCCCTAGGCAAAACTGCGACCAAAGCATTGCACTGGTTGCAAACGAAATAAAAAGAGCTGGCGGTTGCACAGCGCATTCCAACTAAACAAAAATCAGCGAAACTCGAAAAACTCAAGTCACGAAGCGATAAATCGAAAAAGCGAAAAACCGACGCGAAAAAGCGATAAATCGAACCGAAAAAGCGAAAAACCGAAAAATCAAAAACCGAAAAAGTGTCCCGTGTAGCTTGACCTTTAGGCTTCCCATATTCCAAACACAAATTTTCAAATATGTGACGTCACAGCCCAAAATTACCTCCTTCCCCAGGCCACATTACTGTCATAAAGCTGATTCTTTTTACTCTGTAGGCACCACAACAAAGTTCAGACCAAGTTTTAAGCGATTTTTCAACGAACGAACCCATTTAAATCAGAATGACTAAACGAGGTGACGTCACACTAACGGTCGATCCATGTTGAAGATAGGGCCTTGCACAAGGCCCATTTTCAAATGCGGGAACGAATTTCTTCAACACCAAGAGGCCGCGGGGGTTGCAACCTAGATAGATAGTGGTTTCTGAACCTCGCCGCAAACTTGGCTATCTCAACTCAAATCCCATGTTAAAGGTGGGATAGTCCCTTTAATCAAAGGTCTAAACAATGAAATAGCCTGCAACATATTGCTCTATGTCATCCGCACATAAAAATTAAAAAAGTTTCATATAAGTACATTGTTTTAGGGCATGATGCCCTGATAAACGTCCCTTTGCGGTAGATATCTCACAGATTTAAATAAAGGCAGCTTGATCGCCATCCAGTAGGGACGTTCGCGTTGATGAAATACGAGCTGGGCGCAACAGTGGTTCAAACCGACTTAAATGAGTTTCTGACATAAAAACAGCATTTTTTGTTGAAAAATGACCCACATGATAATTTAGCTCACGTCTCGGTCGCCACAGTTCGTAGTTCAAACGAAAGTAATTTATTTCGTCATGAAATCAGGCGGTTCACATTTTATCTCTCGACCGCTGGCTCTCACTTCCTAATGTGCTTTTAAAAAACCGTACACCCGCAGCCCTTGGGATCGGAAAGAAAAGGGTAAGAGGCCGGCCCTCGATAGGCGGGTATTTTGCCAAGCCCATGCTACATCAACAGGAAACGGAAAATGGTTTGGGACTGATTATGATGAGATGTGTTTGGCACTTGAACGACAGCTATCAATCACCCTGTGACTGACGAAGTTGTGACGGTCGATCCAAAGAAGAAACCACTTTGCCCCAAACGGACGTAATGTGATGGCTCGTCACTATCTTTGCATAAATATCACATAATTTGGCATACGCAAGACACGTGAAGGATGAAAACTTAAAGGGACCCTCCCACCTTCAAAAAAGTTAAAGGAAAAGGGCCACCTTTAACATGGGGATTGAAAATGAGATAGCCATCTTGTAGCCCGTGTCCGAAAACCCTCCAGTCTATCTCCTTACGGCCGATTTCGGCTTCCATTCGTAGGTATCGGCAATTTTAAAAGAGGAATGCGTCCTTATCCCAGGAATGCGTCCTTACCCTGTAATACAGCCACCCGCGGCGAGGCTTTGGTTTTTTACCAATCAGCTCCAATCAGCTCAGCTTTAACCCTCGCCGGCCGAGGGGGGGGGGCGGGTGCCGCCCCCCCCCATAGGGTTTTTTCGCGATAGCTCCGAACACGCTGGCGATAGAGAGCTGAAACTTGGCATACCTGACCTTTGATCCAAGCCGGATCTTTTGACACCAACCGCATTTTTGGGTCAGGTCAGGTCACTGACCTATGACGTCATAAGTGAACCTCTGCACGGTCTTCAGATGTCGCAACTTCGCAACGCCCTCACTGCCAGAGGAGATGTCACAGGGAAATGAAACTTGCAGGATCTAGTATCCATTATGAGTCCCACAACTTGTATATCTCGGATTTTTCCTAAAGGTCATATGAGGTCAGGTCATTTTCGTGACCTCACCATTATAAGTCAATGGGGAAAAATGAAAACTGCTATTCTGGCGCCGGGAACGATCTCCAACTATCTCAAGCACACAGAATCGTGATTTGATGCACTCCTTGCAAGGTTAGATGCGTCACTTTTGCAATGTTGACCTTGCGTGACGTCATTTATGACGTCATCAAGGTCATATTAGTTTTTCGTCAATAACTCTTGATCAAATTGAGCTAGCGAGTCGGGAAAGCCACCAATGGACTCAGGAAGACCTGCCGAATCGAATGATATGCGACATGACCTCTTTCGACCAACTTCGTGACCTGGGGGTGCTGACCTGACCTTGACCTGAGGTCAACACCCCAAGTTGACCTGACCCGGACAAAAAGTATATCATTCGACGCGCCTGAGCGAGACAAACACGATGCTGCCAAAATCGGCGCTCTGCGGCCGTTTTTTGCGAAGTTATTCACCAAAAACTGAACCGTACCTTGGGGCACTTGACCTGACCTCAGAGGTCACCGGTTGACCTAGGACCTTAAAATCGGGTACCAATCTCTGCGTCTCGTAACGGCGCACACGCTCGTTTTTTCCGCGACGCGCTAGCTCCACCAGGGGCGAAACGGCGAGGGGGGGGTCGTACCCGCCCCCCCCCCCCTCGGCCGGCGCGTATGTAGAAAACCAATAGGTCCGGCGAGGGTTAACCAATCAGCTTATCTGACACAATCCGACGAGTCTGTCTTCTGAACGCTGATTGGCTTGAGTGTGACGTCATCGCTATGCCATCATACAGTAGGTGCCGTAGAGAGTATCAACATAGTACCAATACGTTAAATAGTTTTAAATACTTTTTCGCGAATTGTGCACTTCTGGCACCAGTTTTAAAAAGAAAATGAAAAATAATAATGTCGAAATGAAAAACAACGATATCTTCATATTTCACGAAGGTGGCCCTTTTCCTTTAATGAATTGGCATGAAAGTGATGTCCCTTGGTTCAGAAAGAGCGAAAACGAATATCTACCAAATTTCACCGAAAAATATTCACTGGTTTTCAAGATATTAGGCTTTTACTTTTGTTTACTTTTTGGGATCTCCCCTGTTACTAGCGACTTTATTTGGAAGCAATTATTTGGCAGCCTTAAAGTGCGGCAGACGTTGCGCGCAAAGCAGCGTATACCACCACGTGTTAACGATGGTTTTAGTCTAAGATTTAAAAATCGTTAGATCTCCGCTGACGTCACAAATTCTAAGGGGGCATTCCAATGCATTAGCCCCTTAGAATCCGAAAACTGCAAGTTTGAAATTCCATATCTTCGAATTAAAGCATTTTTCGATGTTGTGAGTGCCCAAACCGGTATTTGCAGGCCATGGCCACCAATTTGGCTATCTCAACTCAAAACTAATGTTAAGGTGGGAGTGTCCCTTTAAGATGTAATTGAATATTGATACAAGATGTCATGGCTCGAATTATCTCTATTGATTATTTCAAGAGTATCTGAAGAAAAATCAAGTATTTGGTTCACCGTATCATGACCTTAAAAAAGCCTCTGTTCCATAATCTATATTCAACGGAACAAGGCTGACCATTTGCCATTTCCAACGCTGAATAGCAAAACCATACGACGGCCTTTGTTTGGTTAGGATTTAGGTTGAAATCTAGCCCGTGTCTGCCCAAGTGTATGATATAGTTTTGCGGCATCTCTAGTTTTGTTATAATGCTTCGATTCCTTCTTAGAGGGCGTAAACCATATTGCCATGCCCGTTGGAAATGACAAGCTGGTTCCATCACAGTGCCTCTCATAAGTTCCTCCTATGTGAAAGGCCTCTAAGCTCCCAATCGGCTCTATGTAGGCTCCCCAAAGTCTCCCGGCCGTTCTCCGTTGGGTCGCTCCAGGAATCCAGGCCTCGTCGACACCTACCTGTCGTCGGTCGGGAGGTCGTCGGCTCCGGCGGCGGGTCCGAGCGGCTCGGCACGACTGACGCCGGCGCTCGTGTGCCGCCGATTTGAAGAGACGAACGGACCGGCGGCCGCTCGACCGGCGGCCGCTAGGGGGCGATGCGATGGGAGCGATACCTCTGGTGAGGGCGGCGAAGGTCTGAAATGGAGCTGTTAGGCTAACAGCTCCATTTCAGACCTTCGCAGCCTATTCCGTTGTTGAAACATTGTACCATTGTTGTAAAGCTATTAAAGATAAAGATACACCAACGCATTTTGCAGCTAAACAGTTAAGCTACTACATAGTTGCGATAGTGGATCTCTTGCTTTGGGAAGCTTTGAGTCTTCGTGTTTTTTTTAATTTTTTTTTAGATAGCCTGCTAGGTTCAGAAAGACCATGGCCCAGCCGCCTGGTCTTGTAGGTAGAGTATTTGTTGCGATAAAGTAGCCCTGCAGTGATGACGATGCCTTTTGGTTTTGGGAAAAGTTGGAACAGTCATTGTATACCTTGGCCATAGACCTCTGTATACCGCAGGTTCTAGGTGTACAGAGGTCTATGCCTTGGCCATTACACAATGAAGGGCTATGGCTCTAAAACTGCTGGGCTTTAGTGATCCAGCAAATTGCTCCTTTTCTGAGCTGCTTTTGACTGACATGTAAGCATGTTTGCTCTTCTTTAGACGGTACATACACCGGAAGGGTAACTGAAAGCAGGCAACTATTTGATTCAACTACATATGCCAGTTAGCACATGGTTGTTCATCTAGAAACTACTATCCAGCCTTATCTGTCAATGTGTCTGTATTCCATGCCTATAAAAAAAACTCCCGCTATTATACATAAGCCGTGTCGGTGTCCGTCGCCTGGCTGGGTAGGTGACCCGCACCACTCGTCTGTCGCGCTGGCTGGTGGGGCTAGGTGGTACAGAGGAAGCTGATGACATGGGCCTAACACGCTATAGTCCGTGTTGCCTAGACGACGTTAGGGGAAGTTGGGGGAACGCCGAAGACTTTTTTTCTGACGCCCGTAGCACGCAAGGTAGACAACATACGCTATTCTTGTTGGCGTCATTCGAGAGGCCAGTCTTTTGCCTTTCAAACATACCAGGCGCATTTGATGAATTCGCATACCGTTAAGCGCACAAACTAAAAATATCAAAGAAGTGACTTTTTCGGCGTTGCCCCGGACTGCGGGGAAAGCCGAAAATGGGAGAAATGATCTACGGGGAATGCCGACATTGATGTTTTGCCATTTTATCTCAAACTTTATCCAGAATTCATCAAAGCTGACACACGTTTCAAGAGCTTGAGGACGCGGTGCACACTGGAAGTTATAATTGTGTGATATAATAAGAAAATGCCAGGTAAATCATTCCTTATAGGTAACAGGCCGTTGTGTCGGTTGAAAGTGTAATTTGTGTGACTAAAAATACGCGTTGCTATTCTACAGCAGTAAAGTCCACGTAGCGTGCTTTTAACACGTGCGTAATCGCACGTTTTCGGCATTACCCCAGCCAGCCATACTTTCATTTGCAGGCCCATAACTTTTCAACGTGCTGTATAAATTTCAAATAGGCAGCACACTTATGCAAAGACATGCTAAAGATTACTTGACCGAATTGGCCAGACAAACAGTAGCATAATGAGTAAAAAATGCAGCTTCAAAGGCGCATGTAGTACAAGGGAAACGTACAGCCCTCTGCAAACTGCGTGGTAGGTATTCTTTCTTCGACAAAACCGAGAATAACGCGGATACTATGCTATCGGTCGCTCGGAAATCATAACAGCAAGATGCGCGAGACTCCGCACCTTGGATTGGCATTACCATCGCATTCATTTTCCATCCAGTTTGGCAACAAAACCCAAAAGTTTATATTTGCCCCCAAAACAAACTTTTGCATTTTGTTGCCACACAAGGCATATACTTTGTTTAGTGATATACCCAATCGAAGGAGTAGAGCATGGCGCCTCTATTTTCAGTGAGTTCCGACCGACTGACAACATAGTCTTTGAGTTATTACTGGTTTTGTCGAAAAAAGAATACCTACCACGCAGTCTGCTGAGGACTGTACCTTGAAAACGCTCTTGGCGCCCTCACAGTCGAAGTATTCCGAATGACGACTCGTAACAACCATGCGATAATTGTAGTCACTTAAGCTTCAGAGCATCACTGACAGGTGGCATCCATGTCTTACGGTTTTCGAAATATCTCGAATTTCGGCTTTGCCCCAACTCCGGCATTGCCCCAACTTCCCCTATTTGTCCCTGGTGTGTACGTTTCTGGGTGGAGATTAATGGGCTTTGTATTGAGGTGGTATTTAGCTCCTGTTCGGTTGCTAATAATATGAGAGAGAAATGACCTTGTGTGGACCTTTCCCGGGCGTGTCATACAGGCACATGCCACCCTCAACACAATGCACGTGCACAGTGCAGAACTTTAAGAACTCTGCTGATCTGAGAAGTCCGTGCTGGCTCTCAAGCTCAAGCAGTTAACATTCATGACATAATTTTCGTTCGTGTCACCTTTTGCAGATAGAGCAATAATACGAGTATGTGTTTGTTTGGTTATAGGCATGAGTGATCCTAAAAGAAAATCCTTTGAGCGTGTTTCAATTTCAAAGATTACAATCAAAATTTGTTTCAGCGTCATTCACGTAGTCGCTCTAGCGCAGGTGACCCCAAACCGCCGACGGCCTCTGAGCGTCTGACGGGCCTCGCCACTGGCACCCCAGACACTATGTTCAGGGAGTGCCGGTGTGTCCCAGAACTCCAGGCTGTCCTGGCAGGGTCACTGCTCGCTGGACACAGTCCCCACCGGTCGCCATCAGTGTTTTCATCTCTACAGCTCCTCTCTAAGTGATGCCGATTTCACCGGCTCCACGACGGTATCCTTCTGGGGCGCTCGATCGTTTTTTATCGAGTCGCTGAGGGCGCAGGACACGTGCACTCGGGATTACATGAACATAGCTTGGTTTTCTTTTATTGCTGCCATATGTTTTTTTTTAAACTTAAGCTCTGACCAAACTCAACCGCACGTACCCGAAGGAGGGCATTAGTAATACGAGAATAAAGCTTTTCTCTATTTATTTTTTTGTTGTTGTAAATACAGAAAACTTTTTGAGGTTATGAACAACAGCACTTCAGCTGTTTGACGATTCCAGCGTCTTTCATAGGTCTTCACACATTTGTACGATAGCTCAACGTTCTATTTTTCGGCGCAGGTTAAACCCAGTCACAACTGACTTGCTGCATTGGTCGTCTAGGGGAGGGGAGGGAGAGCGCGAGGGGAGGGGAGATTGGCGCCAGACTGTCGAAACCGACGGCGACGGATCTGTCCGATTCCGCTCGGCGACAGCTTCCCGAGTGGACATTGGACTGCCGGAGACCGCACCCACAGATGTAAACAGAAAAGTGGAGTGGTCAGTGGAGTGGAGTGGAGTGGAGTGGTCAGTGGGTGGAGTGGAGTGGAGTGGAGTGGAGTGGAGTGCAGTAGAGTGAAGTGGACTGGAGTGGAGTGGAGTGGAGTGGCCATATTTCTGCGGCCAAATGTCGCTCTTTCCTATTTGCGGCGTATGGTAGCCTTTGCGGTAAATACCGATGCTGATAAATGAGCATCAGAGTCAAAGTAGCGATTCTTGGAAATGAAATTTTTCCAAATGAAACATTTGGAAGAGGTACTAGAATTATGTTTCTTGGCTGAATCGTGCATTGTATACCTATGGTAAACGTTTCTTTATTTAAATTCAGCTCCTATATTATCCGATGTCAATAATACCTATCAATCATAGCACAATAAACATCCAGCAGTTAACAGCAATGTTTCACGAACCAAGAGCTGACAAAATGCTTTGAAAACAACATTACCGTCTGGTGAAACGGGTCCTGGCCTTATGGGATTTCCTTTGGAGCCATCTGCTGATACTTTAATGGTCGATTTAACACCATCCAGGACAACATTGTTCCGCGAAACCAAGCTACTGTCGTCTGCGGCCTCTATACGGAACATGATCTTACGGAAAATGAAAGTTTCATTCACAAGCCATGCGTCACTAGGGCTAAATAAGAGAAATCTGTTCATTGTCTTGTCATCAACTTGCCTCTTTAGCATGCATATTGATCTACCAAAAGGCTGGCAATCATTTATGCGAATCGATGATGCGTGATTTATGACAGGTAGGTAAGTTGACGCAATTCCAATAGAACCACAGGCTGGGGCTCGAGACGATGCTCCATTCAGACGTTACATACAACAGCCAAGAAAGCTGAGAGGTAAAGTCGCTACAAAAATAGCACAAGCTGAAATTTCTCCCTTTTTTCCAGTTTGTCTTTATCTGGATGCCGTGTCCACTGTCCACTCTACTGTCCAGCAATACCTTTGGATACTGGACAGCTAAGCCATCTCCTGAGCAGTCATGCGGCACAGTCTATCTCCCAGGCAGTCTTGTCCTGCGGCACAGTCTATCCCCCGGGCGTCGTGTCGTGCGGTACAGTCTATCTCAGAGGAAGCCGTGTCGTGCGGTACAGTCTATCTCACAGGTAATCGTGTCCTGCGGTACAGTCTATCTCACAGGCAGTCGTGTCCTGCAGTACAATATAGCTCCCAGGCAATCGTGTAGTTAGATTATGATATAAGCCATCCCACGGAAACTGTCCAGTCTGCATTCCGAAGGTGTGACATGTTTGCAATATTGTGAATTCGTGCTTTTTATTTGTTGTGAAATAAATAGCAAATTAGTGGATAAATGGATAGATAACCTAATGCTAAAATGTCAACTAGATGCCTTTTGCTTCTTTTTGAATACATGCAAATAAATCTGAAAAAATCTAAATTACGTTAGGTGCACATTATTCATCACATCTGAAGGCTGTTTTATTTTCAGCGAGCGTTCGCTATCTGCTCAAGAGGAATCATGATAATGAGACATATAGACTGGCACCTAGATAAATATAACTAGAGCATATACAATAAAAATGTATGGCTTTTTCTTCATTGTGCGTTCTTGTAGCTTTCACGTGATGCTGAGACCAATGTTGTGATGTTGCTGTGATAAATGTGTTGCTGTCTAGAGGACTTACCTAGCTAGGTGTTACTCCACAGTTTACCTCGGGTTCATGTATAGTTATAATACAGTGAGCATCTAGCAGAGATGCTGCAATATAAACAGCCATTATCCCGTCAGTAAGTGCTTGCGGTGGTAAATGTGGGCCACCATATGACTGTGGGAACGGCGCTGTTGATAACAAAGTGGGTCATTTACTTCAGAATGTATTGCCAGCTGCTTACAACGACGTACTATAACGCTAGTGTCTCAGTCGATGATAGCTATTCAATATTATTATATTTGGTTCAATGTAGATATATTTGAGAAGTGCATTAATCAGAAAATAATTTAATTTTTAAATTGTCCGGTACGGCGTAAAGGAACCCCCCAGCGTGTAAATATAATTTTGACTGTCTGTCACATATTTATTTCACACGCTTGCACGATGCTCTACTTTTCATTTTGGCTCAGTTGCGACCGAGTCGCGACCGGCTTGTTGCATTGATCGTCGGAGGGAAGGCGGCGGGCTAGGGGGTCAGGCGGGGGGGGGGGGGGGGGGGGTCGGCGCCAGTCCGTCGGAGCCGACGGCGGCGGCCAGTTCACACTCCTCGACGGGAATCTCCAGAGTGGGGGTCAGACCGCAGCAGACCAGCCAACTCTCTGCAAAATGCAGAGAGTTGGCTAGAGTGGAGTGGAGTGGAGTGGAGTGGAGTGGAGTGGATTGAAGTGGAGGGGAGTGGAGTGGAGCTGGTGTGAGCCACTCGGGCGAGTGTAGATCGTCCGCGTTGGGTGCAGCCTCGGTGCGGTGTGAACTCTTTGGAACTACGCAGTACGATGAGCTGCGCATTACCCCATCTGCTTTGAGGTAGGCTGGCCAACGTAAGGCAGTCCAGTGGGACACTGGAGGTGTTGGAGGAATGATGGGATGATTCTTTGAATGCGTTGAAAACTGCGTGTACTGGGATATTGTTTGCAGTTTAAATGGTAGGAATCCATGGGCTACTTTCTAAAGTATTGAACAATTTCAACAGAATTGCTGGGGCGTCAAATTTATCCCGAACACCCATGTATAGTTATGTCCATTTTACAAGTTCTTTTTTTAATCCACGCCCTGACGGGGTCTGCCGAGCAGTGCTGTCTGATGGGGGGGGGCATTTTGGCCCCGCTAAGATCTCAAGAACCACGCAACATAGCGACAAGCGGCAAATGGCGGTGGATAGCCTCAACGGGGAACTACCTTTTGACCAAAGTTCATTGACCTCGGTCTAACCGATGACGTCACAGCCCACAGGTCAGGTCAATTGTCGAATTCTCACCGTTTACAGGCATTGCAAGAAATACGTTGTAAAATCGAGTAAAATGCATGTCATTGAAAATCATCGATGGGGAATTGTCCATATAATACATATTTTGCTATTTGAGGTCACCGATGCCAGGTCAGGTCACATCTAGTTCAGGTCACTGAGGGTCAAAAATATGAAAATATCACGTGATGCATGCTTTATGATCCATTTTACATGACAAATACGATTATGTGTGTCAGGCCGCCTTTGGGGCCAGTTCAGATTATGTTCTGGTGAAGGTCAGGGCAAGGTCATGTAAAATAAGGTCAAAGTTCAAATTTGATATTTTGCATAAAATGTATCGATTCGATGCAGCTCGTCACAGGGAGTCTAATGGTGGGAGTCAAAATCCCAAAATTTTGAAAATCCGAGATAGTAGTTTTGTAGCGCCGTCGTTTCTCTACACGACCACAGAAAGAACTTTGAAACTGCTTGTTAACTGTAGATTTTTGAGCGTTTCAAGATGTCATGTTTTTTGCTCATTTTTGCTCGAACATGATCTCAGTTTGACCTCAATAACTCCTGACCTAAGGTGACCTGTGACTTGAAATTTTGTGTGAAGGTGTCAAATTGATGCCCGGAAAGATACTTAAAATTTGGCCGCGCGCAGCGCCGCCCTTTTCTCGCTATTTAAGAAAACCCACAGGGAGGGCAAAATGGCTCCCACAGATCAGGGCGCGGGTTTTAATCACGACGACGGTCATGTTCGACTGCGTTGTCGTCGCCTGGTCCCGTTGATCGCCTGGCTCATGTGATCAACTATTGACCATGTCTGGGATGTCAGTAGCAAGGGTCAGAGCCGCCTGAGGTAGTTTATTTCGCTCGGAACCTGATCCCGAGCCGGAGCTGCCGGAGCCAGTTAATGTTTTGTTCGGGGCTGGGGTTGGCTGCAGCGGACGTGGCGGGACGTCATGACGTTTTACTCGAACTAGGCTCTGAAGCCGAAATGCTCCATCACAGACTGAACCGCCTTTCTTGCACTTTTGCAAGCCTGTTGAAAATGCGAGATTCGGATGTGCTACGCAATACTTGAAATAAAATCACTGTCAGTCTGATTACATGTGAATCAAAAATAATCTTAACCCGCGCCCCAGTGGCGGTCTCGGCCAACTTCGCCCTAGTGAGGGGGGGCATATGTTACCACCCACCTCTAACTCAAAAACTAAGAGGGCTAGAAAGACGCGGTAAGAAGCAGTCGATAGCTCTCAATACGTACGTTTGAAAGTATTTCGGTCATTTTTCACCTTAGAGCAATATTGGGGTCACCAGAGGTCATCAAAGGTCAAAATTTGCCAATTGTCATTATATTTTTCAGAAAACATGCCGCTATCTCAGGAACTATGGTAGCTAGAAAACGCATTGAAAAGCAATCGATAGCTTTTGAACTCTTCTTTTGAAAAGGTCATTATCAATATTGTCCTCAGGTCAACGGTTTAGCGTCCAGAGGGCAAAAACTCCAAAAATAGCTGTTTTTACGAAAAGTGTTTTTCGACAATAACTTTCGACTACAAAAAGCCACGACATTTCTATTGCCAGAATCGTGTTCCCCTCACCGAGACGCGTCGAATGAACTATAATTTGACCTTGAAAGGTCAACTTAAAAATTTGACCTCAGGTCAAGGTCATGACCTGACCGGAAAAGGTCATGTTGCATATCAGTCGATGCGTCTCAACAAGAAAAACACAATGAGACCATCCCCAGCGTTCTATCTCTTTCCAATCGCGAGTTATTGGCAAAAAACTGTTTGTAGCCTCAAATGACCTCGGATGACCTTTCTAGAGGCTATCAGCAAAAATGACACCTTGGTCATCACGAGTGGACTAAATCATTGTGATTCTGAAATATTTGGACTGTTCCTATGCGTACACACGGATCTAGAGGCATTTTCATTTTTCTCCATTGACTTGTAATGGAAAGGTCATGCCACTGACCTGACCTTAGGTCACGGATATAAAAAATCCGAGATATACAAATTGTAGGCTCCCATAACAGCATGCAATCCACCAAGTTTAAAACCTTTCTGACAAACACTGCAGGCTGGACATGATTGCAAACTTTTTTTAAGGCTTGGTCAGTTAACTTGACCTGGTGACCTGACTTGACATGACCTGGGGTCAAAAATTTCACACATTGTCCAAAATTGATGTACCAAAAGCTACCTCAAGCGGCGCGGCGCTACGCGCCGCGGTTTTTTATTCACACGCGAAAAACGCGACAGGGTGGTAACATATGCCCCCCCCCACTGGGGCGAAGGTTAATGTCATCGCAAACAAATAATGAATGCATGGCAAAGCGATGCCATATGCATCAGTTAGGGATTCTTGAAGTGGTTAACAGGGCAAAGTGATTCAATAGCATCTCGAACAGTTGCTAAATTTCTGTTCCTCGATTAATAGTTCTACATTATATGATACTTACCTTTTTATTTAAATTAAACTTGTATTTTCGTAAACGTTGAATTGTTGTGTTTGTTTTTGATGTAACAAGAAGCAACAAAACGCTTTTGTAGACATCATGGCTGACGGCGAACTGAGTCTTGGGCTTCATGAGATTTTCCTCAAAACATCTGCCGATAGCGATAATTGCACGGTCGATTTACGCCAACCTGCACAACATCGTTCCGCCAGAATAAATTTTTGTCGGCTATCTTTACTGAACGTAATTCAATCCCTCCTCCCGGAAAGTGAAAGTCCCGTTCACAACTCACAAGTCACGTATCGCCAACCCATAGGCAATAGGCATCTACCAGACAGTCGTGTCCTGCGGTACAGTCTATCTACCAGGCATTCGTGTCCTGCGGCACGGTATATCTATCAGGCAGTTGTATCCTACGGTAGTCTATCCCTTATAAAGCCGTGTCCTGCGGTACAGTCTATCTCCCAGGCAGTCTTGTCCTGCGGTACAGTCTATCTCTCAGGCCGTCGTGTCATGCGGTACAGTCTATCTCCCAGGCAGTCATGTCCTGCGGTACAGTCTAACGCCCAGGCAGTCGTGTCCTGCGGTACAGTCTACCTCCCAGGCAGAAGTATTGTGCGGTACAGCCTCTCTCACAGAAAATTGTTTTAAGTGTATCAATTTCAATATAGCTTCAATATAGTTCAATGTAGTATAACAGTTGCGTCGTGCGATTATATATCACAGATTGTACCTACCTCCGGGGGAATCGCGTTCTACCGCCCGAGCGGTGGTAATCAGCCATCTCGCGGTAAACCGTCCTGTCGGTACCGGCTCAGATTCTCAACGAATTAAAGCCTCACTCTATGTATAGGAATAGTCCATTCCCGTGGGGTGGCCCATCACTTCTGTCTTGCATGTCACTGTCCGTTCAACCGCCGCCCGAGCTTGTGTCACCTGCTAACCACAATTCAAACATGCGGTATCATTTCTGGCCTTGCATTTAGGCGAACCCTCTAGTATGTCGTCTATCGATGGTTTGGATTCGGCCTGTTGGTGATGGTCAAATATTTTGTTTATAACAAACTGAGTAGATGACAAGATATATAAACAAATAGGTGAAGAAACGTAGTCCCCTCCTTCAATGTTAGTATATGTGTGTCCATTTGTATAGTTTATAAACCATTGTTTTACGTTAACTGTTCATCTCACACCGATTATTCATAATATCTCATTACTGTTTCATTTTCAGCGACCGTTCGTTGACTGTTCAAAAGGGATCAAGGCGGCTCGCTCAAGATGTTGCACTCGTGCAGATGCTGCTGCTGCTCGATGCCATTAGAGAAGGCGTCCAGGATCATCGGTCTGACGTTCGGGGTTAGTATTTTTCAGCGCGCAGAAGTAGCACCAAGCCTAACGTGGAAACACAGAGCTGTGTGTCACGTCGGTGACTTAAATGTTCATTGCAGCGCACATTTGCCTTTTCGCAACGTTCAAACTTGACAACTTCTCATCGCTAATTAAGAAGGCAGTGATAGTATACCTATGGCTGCATAGTAAAGTGCATAACGCATCACGTACTAGGTAGTTGCTACTGACGAAAGCTACTTTCTCGGTAAGCGAGCCCATAACGAGCTTATTGCCTTGTTTATATGAATACTAACATAATGCACTCTTCTTTACGGTGTTGCGTTCCTCCCAAGTCCCATACAATGAAAATGATGTTTCAAGTTTTCTTTTGATGTTTGCTTCTTACGCCTATCGGTTTCGTTTCTTGCTGCCCTGTAAGTACTCCGTAACGTGGTTCCTTTGTGATGATGTGCCGCTGTGTTGGCAGATTCTGAGCCTGCTGGCCCTGGGCCGCAGTGTTCTGACGTGGTTGATGCTGTCCCCGCTGGAGGACAGCCACCTGGGCGAGACACACCGCCGACTGCTGCGGCGGGCCGCCACCCAGCTGCTGATACACATCTGCACCTCGCTGGCTCTGGGCATTTTCAGCGCCCTGCTGGTGCTCGGCGTGTCGCGCCGCTCCAAGTGTCTGGTCCTGTCGTTCATGATCTACTTCGGCGCGGTTTGCCTGCTGAGTACCATTGTCCTGCTATACTCCCTGTACGACCCTAGTGTGCTCATTTCTGAGATTCAGCTGCGCGAAATGCGCGAACAGAATGGCGCTAAAATGGTGAAGACGATCGTCTTTATAAGCGTCGGTCTGACGCTGCCCCTGCAGCTATTTTTCTGGTATCTGTGGCTGGTGGTGGTCTCTTACTACCGTGAGCTAACGGACAACCCGCCGTCCGGCTCTGCACAGCCGCCCCCTGACACCTGGGTGGGCCAGCCGCCCCCCGGCAACTGGCCCGGCCAGCAGGCCGGCTACCAGCCGCCCCCCGGCAACTGGCCGGGCCAGCAGCCGCCGCCCGGCACCTGGACAGGTCAGCCAGCCGGCTGGCAGGCACCCATGGTCTAAGTAAGACAGGCACATTGTGCTCCAGCTGCCTGCTACCCGCCCCGACACTCATGTCGGAGGTCAACGGGGACACGAAAAAGCAAAATTCGAGCAGAGGCTCAATTTAGTTCACCGTACGTCTCTTTGGCAGAAGAAATAGGCAACGCCCCTCTCTCTCTCTCTCTCTCTCCTCTCTCTCTCTCTCTCTCTCTCTCTCTCTCTCTCTCTCTCTCTCCTCCCTCTTCCTCTCTCATTCTCTCTCTCTCTCCTCCCTCTCATCTCTCTCTCTCCTCTCTCTCTCTCTCTCTCCCCCCAGAGAGAGAATGGCAGGACTCTCTCTCTCCCAGAGAGAATGGCAGGACTCCCTCTCCCAGAGAGAGAATGGAGAGAGAGAGAGAGAGAGAGAGAGAGAGAGAGAGAGAGAGAGAGAGAGAGAGAGAGAGAGAGAGAGAGAGAGAGAGAGAGAGAGAGGAGAGAGAGAGAGAGAGAGAGAGAGAGAGAGAGAGAGAGAGAGAGAGAGAGAGAGGAGAGAGAGAGAGAGAGAGAGAGAGAGAGAGAGAGAGAGAGAGAGAGAGAGAGAGAGAGAGAGAGAGAGAGAGAGAGAGAGAGAGAGAGAGAGAGAGAGAGAGAGAGAGAGAGAGAGAGAGAGATGTGTCCTTTCCGCCGCCACCAATCAATGCCAGTGTGGCGGGGTTGGCCGTAGGTCATGGGTCGTCTGTCGACCGGTTCCTTTCTCAGAGGTTGTCGGTAATTGGTTGTCACCTGTCAGCGGGATGACTGAATAATGGAAGAAAGCATTTAATTTCACTGGCCGGCCATACCTAACGGCTTTTGTTCGTTCTCGAAGGTCAAAACAAAGTACCTAATCGTAATAACGTCCGATATCAGATCGTGGTCGGAGTAAAATGTAAACAACTTTTCAATATTGAGCCATATTATGTGATCGAATTGTTGAAATCATCTGCTGATTATTTTCTTTGACATGCAAGAAGTACAGTTGTCAACTTAAGTGGGTCGAAAATTGTTGACAATTGGCGCAGGTGAACGACTAACGAGCTTATCCCAGCCACCGTTTTAGTGGGCGGTATGCCTGGTCATAAATGAGTACCTACACGTGCCAGTACTTACCTACGTGGATCGCACATTTTTCTTATGAAACAACTAACTAAAACACGAATCACTTTTTCATCGATATTCATACAGGACACTGTGCGCTGAGGAGCATCTTGGACCGATCCCAATCCGTATCTCGTACCGAACCAATTCCACCTACATCCTTGACCAAGACCGAGCTCGGACGCTGGCCATAGGCCGATAACAGTTCCAGATCCCAGCAGAATCCAGGCCCCGGTCCAGAGTCCAGACTGAGTCCCGGAGTTCAGACTGAGTCAAGGCCCCGGTCTCCACCAAATCCAGACCGAGTCCGAGTCCAGTGCCGAATCCAGACTCCGATCTGCACCAAGTCCAGACCGGGTCCAGTGCCGGCAGTTGCGCTCGTGTGCGCTGTTTTCGCCGCAGCACCCGTCGTTTTCGCCGGCAGCGCCTGTCCTCCCTGTGTCGAGAAATGGCCCGGGCGCCGGGGCCGTTCCCACAGCGGAGCAGCGGGCGTGACCGAGAATCTCGCCGCCGCCATCTGGCAGATGACAGCAGTTGGCAGATGACAGCGTGGCGTACCCGCCTCCTCTGCGGATAAGGCTTATTAGTGCGCCGTGAAACACTCGGCTTCGTGTGGTGTTCAGCGTCTTCAGTCACTGCTAGCACAGCTGCTTTGTGTGGGGGAGAGGACGGCAGAAGGGATATGGTGGAGCCTTTTTGGGCGACCAGAGAGACTGTTACCGACGTCGGGGCTTTGGTGGTTGGGCGGGTACCGTTGTGAGACGTACGCAGCTAAGTATATATGGCTCCTCTTGATCTCTTAGCCTCCGAGTGACGTTGCTATAGGAGTTGCTGTAGTTAATGTGCATAAACGTTTGCTACAGAGTATCACTAGTCACTGTGCTTAGTGAGACAAATTATCTACTGGTAACGTTAGTCGCTTTGTAGGGCTGCTGTCTCGAAGGACATTCCAGACTGATACTGTTCACTTGGTATGACCATAGACCTATGCACACTTGGTACCTATACAGAGGTCTATGATTGTCTAATCCGCAAATGTAGATTAGTTAGATGCATGGTATCCTTGAATGCTATCTATCGGCAGCACCGTACAGTAATCAGCTGAACTGAGTCGGCGCCTGCCCTTTTTGAAGCTTTTTAATACAAATGGTATCAAAGTGCCTGAAACTTTGAAACCTATTTTTGCAATATCTACCTGTTACAGGTATTAAAACTAGGGATATTTTTATACTGCCCTTTGTTTCATTACGCACGAATGTTCTTTCTACAATCCTCAATAGGCGTTTATACTAAATACGTTTTTGCAAATACAAGGAGTCGCTGTTCGTCATATACTCCTTATCCTCCTTTCCACTTAGCTTTATAGTGAACTAGATGAGTCATGGAACACACCGCAGTAAATAGTTCCCCTTGATATCCACACTCAATGTTGTGGCGCTGTACGATTGGTCTGTGTTTATGTAGACCTTTGGAGTTCCCTGTTTCCATAATAACGACCCTTTCGTCGGCGACTGCACGATGTCGTATCGCAAATCAGTAGGGTCTATCGGATCTCCATACTTAGCCAACTTCGGACCGTAATTGAATGTGAAATCTGCCTACTCAGACGCAGACTGCCACCTAGATGAATGTGAGTGACATGCTATAGAGCATCGACAATAAACATCTGCGGTTTATCTTGTATTTTGTTCTGTGTACAAGGTACTAAGATACCTATAAGAAGCCAAAATACACTGCAGTATGGTGTCATATGTTGCGATATTATTGCATTGTTGTGTAGTGTGTATGGGCTCCAATAGCAGCTTGGCGCTGGGGTTTATCTCTCGTCCATGTATAATTTGTAGTGATGCATACAGCCAGCATCGTCTCTTCGGCAGCAGCGGAGGTCGCTGCAATAAAAATAGGAACCGTTCCGCCAGTATGTTAGCAGCGGAGGTCGCTGCAATATATGAATAGTAACCGTTCCGCCAGTGTGTTGAGTCGGTGACTATGTGCGGGGCTACGACTCTTGGAACGATGATAGGTACCATAGATAGCATGAACTACCAGCTCATAGTACAGTTCAGGACAGGTAGTTCAGGTAGTTCATGTTATCTATGATGATAATGATAAAAGACTGCGTCATGCAGATAGCTATAGATATTAAGTACTTATTAATTATTGCTACTTACCACTCTACTGCATTTTCGTGTCAACAGCCCTTCACAGCCGATACCGTTATCCACCACCGGGATGCTTTTTCAATTGAAGAATAAGGCTGGGTAGATGGGAAAATCATGAGACCCAAATTATTTTTTAGCACGATTTTATTATAAACGGTACTACGATTCTATCAATATCGGGAATCACTTGGAAGAGCATGACTTTGGGGTGTTCTGAAAATGACTAGAAGAAGACTTAGCTCGATGACTAGAAAGAATACTCCAACATTCACCAAAAGCATTGCTTCCATACCTATAAACTGGGCATTTTCCCTTCCCCATGACCCTGTTGACGGTGTGCAAGTCGTGCGGACGCTCCCAGTCGCCTCGTTCGATTAGTTTCCCTTACATCTGCGGCGGCAGACACCCCTTGGTACGTCCCTGACGGCCCTGTCAGCGCGCCTCAGTCGTACCCGCCGCAGTTTCGGCGCGGCTGGCGACAGGCGCGTGGCAGCTGCGGCGGCTCCCACTGATCGTCCGAGTCGGGCGCGGCGCGCGGCGCGTCGGCACCGGCGTCGGCCAGCATGTCCAGGAGCACCTCCACCTGGGGGAGGGACGTGTCACTGCGGAGCACCACTCGGGCGGAGACGGCGCCGGTGGACGAGAATAAGAGGGCGGGTTAGAGAGAGACATTAGGAGAGGGGGCGATCGGCAGATTGGAGAGCGATTGTCGACAAGCAGACTGCGGAGAAATGGTCCGCGGACTCACACCACACCGCGTTAGCGGGTCACAAACAACGGGAGTTTTAATTTTCACCGGGCCGAGAAAAGGGGGAGAGGCACTAGCCGACCGCCCCGGTGCACTGACCTTCAGTTTGAGCATGTTGTTTTCCTCGCGAAGGACCTGGTTTTCCTCCGCCAGTTCGGCTCCGCCAGCCGCCCCTGCCTCCGCCGTGCCGGCGCCATCCTCTGATAAAATAGCGTTCAAATCGTCAGCGGTCAGCGCACAGGACGGTGAAGCGTAAAGGTCATATTGCAATGTGAATTTTTAACTGAACGATTCTTACGCCAAGTTCAATAGTTCAAGAAAAAAAGGAATAATTATATTGTTTTCAGTTCGATAAGTACTAGCGACGAATCCCGTGACTGTAACACTAACGATCGATGCTTGTGACATGACAAACAGAGATGATGATATTCCCAAAGCCTACAGCGGCTTTGGGATGGATGAAAAGGAAAAGATATGGAGGACGATACCTGAGACCCAGCGGCCGTGGATAAAGGTTGCGCTGATGGAGCCGAGTCGGAGAGGAATGGGCCCAACATCCAATCCATATTCGTCATCTTGTGGGTCGAAGTCACGATTTATCATAGACACTGCCGGCCACTTACGTGGACGGGACTTCTTTGGGGCAAAAGGCCTCCGAAGAATTCCTCCAAGCATTGTCGTATATTCTGAGAGACCTTTAAGCTGCAAAATAGTAAAACGATGTGAATATTTTCATCATTTTCAGGAAGAAATCGGTAAACGTAGGTAAAATTAAATCATAACTCACAGCAGCAAATAACAACCATTCCGATCTCCGTCCCATTTATCTCCGCCTTCATCGATATTCACACAAGTACCTATTACCAGTACTGGTACAATACAAGTGTAAGGTGCATGTCAAATGTTATGGAAAGCAAGTCAAAAGTGTGGCTGGAAGCCGGAAGGAGTTCTGGCTCGAAACGGTTTATATAGCCTTGCTGGAAACTCAAACTGGAAGCGTCATTGCTTCCACTTTCACTATTCAGTATTCGGACCTTAATCATTGGAAAATATGGGATATAAATCAAATAGCTTGTCGCCAAAGCATTTTCAATGATCAGCTTCCTTCAACCTAATTTAAATATCAAATAAAATGCACAAACCAACCCCATATTACCCTTCGCGGTCGATTCGCAGGTTTCACGCGTTGCACGCGTTGTTGCTGGAATGGAAGTGAAGGAATGTAAACAATTATCAAGAACTTATACTATGATTAACAACATCTTAATTTTCTAAAGAATTCATAAATTAGTATCGCAAAGTAAACCTAAATAAATTGCCATAAAAATTCGGATCTCACAAAAAATATGACTGTGATGACAATAAAATCATAAGTTAAACATTTTGTGGATGCCTGCGTGCTGAGAAAATTTAGACAGCTTTGACGCAACTGTTTCATTTCAATTATGTTCGTAAAGTTCGCGAAACAAGATATTTCTTTCAGTTGCCTAGCGACTGCAGAATCTGCGAGTGAATGTGTAGTGGTTGCTTGGCCACTAGTTTTCGAAACGTTGTCGACTAAATAATAAAACAAGATTTATCTACATGCACCACGACGTGTGTCGTGTATGTTCGCCTGGACTGGAAACTCCGGGCGCGCGCCATTGTTCGGCGCGTAACCGCGGGTTGTTATTCGGAAATCGGGCTCGGTAAGGAGGGGGCGGCCGGGCGCCCACGCACAAGCACGGCGCGTCGGGACATGAGCGAACTAATCAAGGTGTAACTTTGGACGTAGGAGGGCTAGCGGCCTCGGTCTTTCTGCATTGGATACTACAGAGAGTGTGGAATGCAGTTATGCAACCTGCATTGGCCGAGAGCGTATTGAACTCTGTCAAATCTCACCGACAATCACTGTGAACCTGAAGCAGTCTCCGTCCGTTGCACTTTAAATGAGCTGAATGAGCTTACTCATTACTCTGAAGAGGTAATTCGGTGCTTGGTTAATAAGTTATTAAATAGAAATTGTGTCAGACAAAAAAAAGATAAAGATGTCAGAAAAACACATCGAGTGCATTTCAAACAATGCGTGACGCCGTACCCAACCAACGCCCGATAAAAACGTCCTCACTAGTCTCATGGCAGCATACCAATACAAATAGGACATCCACAAACAAGGCACAAACATATATACAAGCACATCCCACATCACAAACGTGTGTACAAACACTTCTAATGCATCCAAAACACACGTCTACAAATTTTCCGTACATACATCGAGTGCATTTCAAGCAATGCGTGGCGCCATACCCAACGCCTAATAAAAACGTCCACATGACAACATCCAAATAGGACATCCACAAACTTGGCACAGACATATATACAAGCACATCTCGCATCACAAACATGTGTACAAACACTTCTAACGCATCCCAAAGACACGTCGACAAATTTGTTTGAACATTTCTAATGCGATCACACGTCACCTAGCGCACCTTGGCGAGTTTGCGAGACTTTCTGCCCTGACCGCGTGTGACACCCTCTCTAGTAAGGCGCTGGGCCAGTGAGTGCAGCATGAGCCGCGTGTACGTGGCCGCCATGGTCCGCAGCAGAAGCGGATGACACATGTCCGCCCTCAGTGTCGCGGCCTGCCTGGAGGCGAGAATTACCTCCACCAGCGACTTCGATATCCCAGATGATAGCACTAGTGACCTAGCCCGCACTGAAAAGTAACATAGCACAGCTTGACGAATTCCAGGAACGCCGGTGTTGGGAGGTTCAAGCTGCCTACGTCCAGACACGTCAGGCTGGTGTGGGACTTGAGCGCGGTCAGGGTCTCTGAAGCCATAGTGGCAATGTTTGTGTCTTTCACGAGGACGTCCTGGCACACCGCACACCCTCTATGCGCCTTACGATGGAGGTATCCCGCCACATAGCAGATGCAGTTCTCAGTAACTGCGTCGAGCATTGTAATGCCCCCGACCTCAGTCTCATCCCCACTGGTAGACGCTGATGCAGGGTCGGTGGCATGGCGTTCTGAGCTCCGGGTCATTACGCCGAGAGCTGCGACGAGACTGTCCCCGTCCGCCTCGCAGTTCGCGGTGCCAGGCGCCGTCATCAACCCGTTCAGCACGGCGTGCTTGTAGCAGTGCCGGAACTGGGTCGGGTCGGGGTGGTCATGCTGACCACCCCGCTGACGGATCGTGCCGAACAGGTTCTCGAGGGCGTCCTGGTTCAGCCGCCGAGTGCAGAGCACGCTGCATCCCACCTGCTTGCAGTGGCCCCACAGGGTCTGCACACCACGAATCGTCTGTCGGAGCCCAGCAAGTGAGTCGATTCTCACTGTCCCGTCTCCGACGATCCAGCGTCCCAGCCAGTCATCAGCCTCTCGCAGAAGCTGAAGATGATGCTCCTCTGTTGCCGGCTTTCTTTGGGAGATGGCCCTCTTGTTTGCGCACTTCTCCAGCCGGTTCCGTGAGTTCAGGACATCGAACAGGTCGTTCAGCCTCAGAAGGACTGCCGCAGTGTCGTGGCTCTCCTTGGGTAGGAGATCTGAAAAAAAAATGATGTGACAATGGTTAATTGCAATCCATTTCAGCTGGCCTTTGTTACAACAAATTTAAATGAAACAAAAACAATGTGGTAGTAAGAGCACATAAAACAATAATTTATGCATAAAACAATTAAAAACAAGTATTTATGTTGAAACAAATGACAATGTTAGATATTTTAAAAGGTATCAAAACAAATAGTAAAAGTTAAATAGAACAATATTGATGGTAGGTTGAACAGAGCCACCTCAGGGCGCAAAAATGCTGAAAAAAACTGCAATAAAAAGTCAATATAGGCATTTCCCCAACTTACCGAAATCTGCGTATAGACTCAGGCCTGCAGCAACTGAGCGGCTCAGCACCTGAGTTGCAATGCTGACTGACATTTTTTTGAAGGCATCGGGACGTAGATGCACAGACTTTAACTTCGGGACAGCTCGCAGCGATCTGCTGCGGTCGGCTTCAAAGAGAGCGACGATGTGACTCCACTTCGCCGTTCTCCCGTCCACAGTGATGTCATAGTTGATCATCGTGTTTCTAACACACTTGAAAAGGTGTGGCACATCAAAGAGCGCCACCACTCGCACACCGTCGTGGAGGAAGCTGTGGCTCCCATCCGTCATACCCAGCATCCTGTAGGTTTGCTGATTGGTGGCGCCCATGTCACAGACACTGGCCACCACCTTCATGCCAGCTTCCTTCAGCTTCGAGATACAGTCCAAGAGCAGGCTCTTCAAGTTCACCGCTTTCACCGGTCCATTGGATAAGAAGTAGCCCACGCTCTGCTTCCACCGACCAGTGACACCGCGCACCATGAACACAAGAGCATGGGTTGCCACTGCCGAGGACCGGCCCAAGGACCCCAGGTCTTCATAGCCCTCCATCATGTCATCCCCTCTCAGGTAGGTGAGGTTTGGACGAACAGTCATTTCATCAAAGCTGATGACGCACATCTTGTCAGCTTCACTTGCTCCGCGAAACCTCTCCTGCAGCACTGCAAGTACAGCAGTGTGGAAGCCAGGTTTCAGCCTGATCTTTGCCATGTTGTTTCTCAGGATGCGAGTGCTGGGGAGAACAAACTGCTTCTGGAGAAAGCGGTAAGCCCTTGGACCTTGGAAGTAGATCGCAAGTGCCTGTGCCATCTCATCATCGCTGTAACGCCGTCCTTGAGGGGCCACTCCAGCTGTTCTTCTCTGCAGGTTGAAGAAGGTGTGGGCCTCCTTGGAGATGAGCCCAGTAGCCATTTCATCCTCAGGTGCCTTCTGCTTGTCCTGCAGAAGCCTACTGATTTGCTGCTTTTGGCGATGGTTTTTGGACTTCAGCCGATTGATGCGCTTCTGAGTAGCTTCCATGCTCCTCGCTTCTTGCTTATTTTCTTTGTTTACTTCTGTCTCTTCACCTCCATCAGTAGCAGCTTCTTCGTCGTCTACAGACACAATGGCGATGAGGTCGGCATCAGCATCAGATCCTCCTGCCGCTGGCTGAGTTTGGACGCCTGCGAAAGAAAAAACTGAGCTGTAAGAGTAATCCTGCTGATGGTGGTCAATACTTTATGCTGAAAGTTTCAAATAGATGTTCAAAAGATTTTGAACCATCATTAGCCAATGTAGCATTCTTGGTAAATTACCAAGGATTTTATATGGCTAAAACTTATGCAAACTCATTTTCATATTATTTTCAAGCATCTAAAAACAGGAATAGTTCAAATTAGGAACCAGTTTGTAAATCATAGGATAATGAATATCAAATATTGTAACATAAGATTTAACACTGGATAACCATTACTTGTTAATTAGAAGTTTTTAGACCTAATTTGAGCTGAACCAAAGCCATGACAAGGCATAACTAAATTACCTCGTTTTTTGGTTGGAGGTGCTTGCGCATGCCTCTGAGTCAACGGCCTTTTGGTCGACACCGGTGGAGGTGGGTTGGGCACATCAAAGATGGATGGTACCGCATGCTTCTTCAGTCGTTTAGTGCCAGCGTGGAACATCTCTTGCTCAAAGTGACGACTGCAGAAACGAACGTTCTTATTCAGGTACTGAACACTCAGCCCTTCAAGGTCCTGCCGTCTTGAGTTGATGACCCACTGCTTCGACCTGAGGGATGGAAAAAAGAACATTATTTTCTACCCACAAAAAAACAGTAGCCCTGGCAATCTGACAGCTCAACATCGACATCGTCTGTGACCGAAATATCAGTATCAATTTATTTTATTTATTCCTAACTTCCCTTTTAGTTATGCCCCCTGGGCCAATGCCAGAAAACTGTATCGGTGCTAGATGCTAGATAAATTTGTATGTGCTAGGTAGCATAGAAATATGACAATCAAATTTAGAATATACCTAATTAGGTACCTATTCGGTCATCGCAATTTATCTGCAGTGACATACCACTTTGAGAGATAAGTGCAATATTTACCTCACAGGATCCTCGGGGAAACGGTGGAAAGATAGCTCCGGACATTTGCTCTTCGAATTCGCACAATTTATTGCGCCACACCACATACTACTATCTCGGCCAGCAGCCATCGCGTCAAAGTAAGCGTCTCCGCGTCCTCTCCGCGTCTGCGTCTCCTTACCGAGACGAAATGCCTACGAATAAGGCGCAGAAATGCGGCGGTTACGTCTAATCAGCTGACTTTCCAGTCCAGGCCCTGGGGCCGATTCGAGATGGCGCACTAGGAAGCTAGTAGGACTAGGCGGCCAAGTGACACTTAAATGTAGTGACACTAAGCGGTATTTTATACCAATCGGCTAGTGGCTCAGCGCGAACCGAAATCACACAGTGACACTTGAAATCAAGTGTCACTAGGGCCTTAGTGCGCCAACGCGAATCGGTCCCTGATCGGCGGCCGGCTAGTACCAGGCCCATGTCGTCCCCTATCTCCGCGTGTGTCCACTAACACGAATGACGTCACGCATGTGGGCGGAGCTATGGGCGGAGCCTAACGCACGCGGCAGTCCAAGCCGCCATATTTGAATTTATATTTTAATAGAATCTTTGCCGATATTTTGGGTGAAGTCAATTCATATGGATAGCTTGGTGACAGTTTAGCTATACGAATAATAATTTATTATGGATGTGCGTATATTCAGCTCGGAATTGCAATTAAAGTTCCGCACCGCATAGATTCGAACTCGGGACCTTTGAAATACTGCGCGGGCACGCTAACCACTACACTACCGCGACCGCGCGGCGGGCGGCGGCAGGGAGGCTGCGGAGACATGAGGGGACATTTTACGCTTTTGTGAAAAAAGCAAAAGATTTAGCGAAAAACACGTAATAGATAACTTGCAGAAAATTGTCTGCTCTTTCAGATAAGATACTTAGGTTTGATATATCTTGTGCAGACTTCATTCTACAGTGCTTCGAAAATCGCTCATTTACATTGGGATTGAACGGGGCTTCGAGACTTGACTCCAAATGACGTCACGAGCTGACGTCACGAAAAGGTAGAATCGCCGGACGACCCTACCTGAGCGCTGTTTGGCAGCCGGCTATTTTGTGTGCAGGGTATGACGTATTTCGCGAGCCGACGTCACAGGCGGTGACGTCGGCTCGCGCGCGAGCCGAGCGCCAACGACAAACTCAACGGGAACCCTCGGACACCCTCGGGGCATAAACCGCGGAGTAGCATATTGAGCGAGTCTTATAAGGAAAATTCATATATTTTCGTTTCTCAAATGATAATCAGGGTGTCTCTTACCTTTTAACATATCATTTAGGCTTACCTAACACTTCAGTTGCCAAATATCTGCAATTTATTCAAGCGAAGGTATTTTCAGTAAATATCAATGGTATAGACCGAAAACTTTTGAATAAAAATTCCAACCAACTGAAATAAAAATAACTTAATTTATTCCAACCATTTCCTCCAAATAAACAACATAAAAACTCACTTTTACACACATCATTCATAATAAAGCATACTAACACGCCGCTTTGGACAATTGCGGCGTCGAGTGGCGCGCTGCTAGCGCTCTTTTTCGATCGCAGAGACCCTGCACGCGCGCGAGCACACTACGTCACGTCCGGGGGGCACAGGTATATGAAAAATCGCAGTGACGTAACACTTTTCTCGCTTCTCATTGGTCAATAGCCCGTTGCCGGGGTAACGTGCACGTATGTGAGCGCGGGCAAGAGTACTAGCCGGCCGCCGATCAGGGCTCTGGTATATAGGGCCTTGGCTAGTACTCTTGCCCGCGCTCACATACGTGCACGTTACCCCGGCAACGGGCTATTGACCAATGAGAAGCGAGAAAAGTGTTACGTCACTGCGATTTTTCATATACCTGTGCCCCCCGGACGTGACGTAGTGTGCTCGCGCGCGTGCAGGGTCTCGGCGATCGAAAAAGATTTTATGCCCATCGTGCTCAGCAGGTCAACTTACATCTGTGTGCAAATTTTGAGGTAATTCTGAGGGGTCCGCCCTCAATGACCTTGAACTTTGACCCCTCATATCTCAGCCCCCAGGGCTTGCCGAGCTTAGATAATTTTATTCTGTGATGACCAGGTCATGCTGAGTGGCTGGTGTAAATTTGGTGAGATTCTAAGGGGTCCGTTTTTATCATTTTTTCCATCGAATATGAATCTGGAATCTGAATTTGAATTTGAAGCTAAGTATATAAACGTCGAAAAAGAGCGCTAGCAGCGCGCCACTCGACGCCGCAATTGTCAAAAGCGGCGTGTGTCATTCATCCATCAAGGGCCTGTGTCAGAGGCCACTGACCCGCTATGAAGATAGGTAAGAGGTCAATCGTAATTCATCAATAAACAGGCCAGTTTAGTGATCCATAAAGGAAATAATAATCGGCCGATCGACCGGTAAAGGAATTACTTCATTTGGAAGCATGCCGGCTGTTTACATTTTACGCGTCGTATTTGTCATTGACGCGCCACTATACATACCTGTCAGCCATATTGGAATATAAATACTCGTTTTCGAAATACAAATTCTGGCTTTTCTAAGGCTTGCCGAGCTTAGAAATTTTTACCATCAAATTAAGCAGGCAAAGTTATGGAGTAAAACGAGTTTTCGTAAGAATTGAAGGGGTCCGCTCTCAAATGACCTTGACCTTTGACCCCTCATATCTCAGCCCCCAGAGCTTGCCGAACTTAGATAATTTAGAATATCAATATGGGTGTCTAGATGTATCAGCTCACAAAAATTCATTAAAATCTGAGGGGTCCGCTGTAAAAGGGTCACGTGACCTCCACGTGGCTGCAACCTTTGACCTGACCTAACTTCCAGGTCAGGGCTTGCCGGGCTTAGATTTTATGCCCATCGTGCTCAGCAGGTCAACTTACATCTGTGTGCAAATTTTGAGGTAATTCTGAGGGGTCCGCCCTCAATGACCTTGAACTTTGACCCCTCATATCTCAGCCCCCAGGGCTTGCCGAGCTTAGATAATTTTATTCTGTGATGACCAGGTCATGCTGAGTGGCTGGTGTAAATTTGGTGAGATTCTAAGGGGTCCGTTTTTATCATTTTTTCCATCGAATATGAATCTGGAATCTGAATTTGAATTTGAAGCTAAGTATATAAACGTCGAAAAAGAGCGCTAGCAGCGCGCCACTCGACGCCGCAATTGTCAAAAGCGGCGTGTTAGTATGCTTTATTACAACCTATAGAATTCAAATTGTTATGATAGGAGCAATATTATTTTGCTTAGGAGATAGTTCCAGCATTTCTGTACAAGATCAGGCATACTCCTTCTTGAAACACTCTCTTATTTTTATGTGATTGGTATGTTAGAAATGGTCTGCATTTATGCCCAAATATGGTCATAAGGAATCAATCTTTTGATGCCTCCATATTTTGATTCCAAAGGTCTAGTTTGCCCAACTGATTATGAATGATGTGTCTAAAAGTGAGTTTTTATGTTGTTTATTTGGAGGAAATGGTTGGAATAAATTAAGTTATTTTTATTTCTGTTCGTTGGAGTTTTTATTCAAAAGATTTCGGTCTATACCATTGATATTTACTGAAAATACCTTCGCTTGAATAAATTGCAGTGATATTTGGCAACTGAAGTGTTAGGTAAGCCTAAATGATATGTAAAAAGGTAAGAGACACCCTGATTATCATTTGAGAAACGAAAATATATGAATTTTCCTTATAAGACTCGTTCAATATGCTACTCCGCGGTTTATGCCCCGAGGGTGTCCGAGGGTTCCCGTTAGTTTGTCGTTGGCGCTCGGCTCGCGCGCGAGCCGAGCGCCAACGCTGTTCAGCAGCCGGCTATTTCGTGTGCAGGGTATGACGTATTTCGCGAGCCGACGTCACAGGCCATTGGTCCATTAGTAGCCATTGGTCCATGGTGTATGTACGCTATCCAAAAAGATTACACGTGAAGCGTGAGGGAATGTTGGTTGGTGAAAAGGCCGTGGCAGTGTATTACTATTAGGGTTGATGAACGAGAAAGCTTTGGTAAAATAATTATCTGATTGAAAGGTAAGGTTTATTTATTTTCTAACCATTCTTGTGTACCTATTGTGTGCTAAGTGTAAGTAGGGATTGGCCCTGGGCTCTGCCATGCCTTGGCAGCTCAGCTCAGCTTTCTCTTGAAATAGAGTGGATAGGTACTTTTTATTGACAGAATTCCGTGCTGAAAGTCACAGTCTGCGTACGTTATTAGCAAAGAATGTTCATACAAACAGGCCTTTTGTCTGAGACTGCCAAGTGCATAGGGGGCGGAACGGGGAGGGCACCGGGGCACCGTGCCCCCTTTTATTTTGGCATTTTAATATTAGCCCTATGGGCGTTGCATGGAATGAATTGGACCAAAAGTCGGCAGTGCCCCCTTAATTGCTTACCAAGTAGAGTACCTAGATGTTTACCAAGTAGATCTGTAAGAGGCAAAGGGAGCAGGATGCTCATAGGATGCTGCCTCTCTCCGTAGTCTTCTTGATGTGTTTATCGTACTTGTTCTTGAAAATGTTAACATTCTTGCTCGTTACAACTTCTTCAGGCAACTTATTCCACTGTTCAATAATTTTTGATGAAAAGAACATATTACGTTTAAATGTGCGATGCCTCGGCTTCCGGAGTTTCAGAGTGTGCCCTCGTGTCCTTTCCCTGTGGCCGTCTGTTTCAAGTTTCAGGAAATCTTCTCCTGCACTGACCATATCAAATCCATGTATCAATTTAAATACTTCTATCATGTCTCCTCTTTGTCTCCTCTCTTCCAGAGTTGTCATGTTCAGTTCCGCCAGACGGACTTCATATGGTTTGGCAGCTAGTCCAGGTATAAGTTTCGTGGCTCTCCTTTGAACTTTCTCCAACCTGTTAATATCCTTCTGGAGGTAAGGTGACCACGCCTGAATGGCATGCTCCATTCGAGGTCGTACAAGGGCCTTGTAAATGGGCAGGAACATTTCCTTGTCCATACATGTAAAGGTTTCTCTTATCCTTCCCAGCATGGAGTTCGCTGCTGCCGTGGCCCTGGACACTTGCTCGGATGCTTTGAGATCAGGAGTAACAATCACCCCCAGATCCTTTTCTTTGTCAGTCTCCATTAAAATCGTTCCTCTCAGAGAGTAGTTATAGCCAGGATTCTTGGGACCAAAATGCATCACCTTGCATTTGTCCTTGTTGAAATCCAGTAACCATATTTGACTCCACACTTCCAGTTTGCAAATGTCCTCTTGCAGAATGACTCCATCTCTGGGGCCTCCAATCCTTCTGCAGATTTTTGCGTCATCTGCAAAGAGTTTCCCTGGAGAGTACAAATTCTTCATGAGGTCATCTATATATATCAGAAGGTGTTCCGCCACTACTGGCCAAGTGCAGTAACAGTTGATGAGCCACATCAGCTAGGGTGGTAAATCTGCACCAGGCCACACCAACTGGTCTAGAAATTGTGAACAAGACCTATAGTTTTACTGCATAATGTAAATATTTGCACTTGTGAGTTTGTGACCCAGACTGGAAAACATCCATACACTACCTCCGAGGCTTGTGAGACCCTATTGCACCAAAATTCAGCGCAAGCGTTTTTGTGCTGCATGATTTGTGCCAAAAATTGGGTGCCTAACTATTTGTTCCAAAATTAAGCCACTTTCATGTAAAGCACATGTGGACATCTACCTATCAAGGCTATATCAACCAGACAGAGCATTCCAGGGTCTTGGATGCTATTGCTCTCCCATGTTTGAGCGTCTGAATAAGTTGTTCATTTCCATGGATTAACCCAGTACCTCAATATGCTCAGTGTCAGCGCACTTAAGCATCATGGCGTTAAACAAGGCCGGAGCCGGAAGTTACGGGGCTACAAAAATCAGCGGGCGGTGTGTTCAAGGCTGGCGGGAGCCAGCGAGAGCCGGGCAGCGGAGCAGCACGTGCTCCGGCACATCAGCTTCTTCTCGGCACATGGCACAGAGGGCAGCGGGGCACCACTTGTCTGGGCACTGCTGGCACACAGTGGAGTGGAGGCAGCCAATTCGGTGCACGTACTGGAGCGAGTGGCTCGCCCCCATCTGGTACACCGAAACGGCGTCCTCTCGGTGCCCTCCGGGGATAGGGAGCGCCAGCGTGCTCCCAGGGAGTGACTTGAATAGTGACTCAGACCAATTGTCACGCCATTGATGCGAGGCCACACAATGAACCTCCCTGGTCAGCGACCGGGCGTTTGAGGGCAGGGCGGCTGCTTGTTTCGCCAGGTCGTCGTTGCTCTCATTTCCCTCAATGCCGCAGTGGGCAGGAACCCACTGCAGTATTTAATGACGCTCGGCGATGTTCAACAAGGTCTTCCATACCTATCTCCACGCCGAGGTTTGAGGCCTCACCTGGGCGGCCGCTCATCCACTGAGTACTCAGGGCGGCTCGCCAGTTCGAGCACGGGACGACCGAGGGCCGGGGTGGGGACGTCTCGTCCCGAAACCTCTCCCGACACGCCCCCAGGGCGAACCTGCTGCTATATTGACCAGCGTGCCGACTAAATTCGGTGACCGTCTTTCGGCAAAAATTATGCGGCCGCCCTGCCCCGAAAAGTTCAGCCACCGCCCACCGCCATGCGCTGAATTCGGCGCATGTGAAGTTACGCCGGACGTGCGCTGAAATTTTCGACGCAATCCCGCCACTACGCCGGACATATTTGGTGTAACGTGTCCTTTTTCCAGTCTGGCTTGTGACGTGTAACAAACTCAAACTGCATAAAGATAAATTACCTTTATACCATTCCCAGGCCGCCCCCATTGTATCCCTCACATTTGATCATGCATTCATGATCAAAAAGGCAAAACACCAGCCATGTGGCTGCCCATTGTCATGCGTGCCATGAATCTCCGATAGTCTAATGGTCTGAGATAATCGAATATATTGCCTCCATATAATACATTTAGTGTGAAAACTCCACTTTTCAGTTGATCCCATAGGAGTGCTCTGTTCAATGTTTTTTTTTTTGCATCTTCTCATTGCTCTGTCAGATACGAGATGCTTGCTGGTTAAGATTGCATTTAGCTTTGTCAGCATATAAATGAATGAAATGTTTATTTTTTCAATTGAATAAGCATTGAGAAAACTGAGTGACAGGGCAAATCCCTAATTACTTAAGTGCAAAATGCTTGTTGTCTGTGTTTAGGGGGGGGGGGGGTGCTGTAATCCCACTGTGGCTCGTCTGTGCTCAAGGTACACCATGAACTGCACAGTACCCACCCCCTCATATGTGTAATGTGTTCCTCATCTGCCTCAAGGTACGCCATGAACCGCACGGTAACCAAGCGGCCCGGCGGGGGGAAGAACCGCGGCGGTGGACGAGGGGGCCACGGTAGTCAGTACGCCGGCCCCAAGACAAAGTCCCGGGGCGGCGGCAGAGGCGGCGGCGGTGGCGGCGGCGGCGGCGGCGGCGGCGGCGGTGGTGGTGGCAGTCGGAAGGGCGGCGATCTGGACTACGACGAGGATGCTGTGGTGGTGCAGCAGAGGGACCAGCGGCCCAGGAACAAGTGAGTGATTTCAGATGACTTTTAGCATGATAGCAAGCTTCTTTTTGTTCAGTGATATCGTTGTTACACATTGCAATGCGCTGCTGAATTTATTTATGTTTGTAAATGTTCTCGCTTTATCTATTAACATGACATTCTAATGCGTTTTCATTTTTGTCATTGATTGTTGTTGTTCGTTTCTGACTTTACGTTCTGCCCACAGCCGGGCGGCCCCGGCTGCTCCACCGCCGCCACCTCCACAGCCCGTTATCAAACGAAAAGTGGAGATGAAGCGACTCTACATGAACCCTGCCACGCAGAAACTCCTCACCGAAACTCTGCAGGAGATCCAGGGAAAGGTAGTGTGAATGGCCGCTTCAGGGCGTGTGATCCACAGTCCGCTATCAGCTAAAAGCTAAAACTGTAGTAGGATGGCTTTACTTCTACTCGTACCTATGTACGAAATGAATCAGTGACATCGATGCATGTGGCGTTTTTATTTGTGTTGCTGTCATTTGATATTGCAACTGACTGTGACCCTTTCTAGTTTGTAGTCTTTTTGTGATTGACCATCGCTGAACGCCGTTTTCTTCTCTGTCGTTTTTCATATCGATTTTCATTTGTCAGTATTTGACCGCTTAAATGTTCCTCAGTATAGCGTTTTTATTCTGTTAGTAACGCTTTCCTGTTATGTTAGGCTGCTCATGTCGTAAGCGATTGTGTCTATCCCAAGTCATTTTGTCAGCAGCCATTTTTATGCTGTATGACGTGAGAGTGACGTCACACCTCTGGGGTCGGCAGCGTTTATCTGTGTATGACGTCACCTCTCCGTGGTCGGCAGCGTTTCTCCGTCGATGACGTCAGTGTGTCAGAGGGCCGCGGCGACCTGAGCCGGCAGTACTGGATGCACGACCGGCACCTGGTGGTGGAGGGGGCGCGACTGCACGCGCCGGGGGACGTTCGAGAGGCAGACCCGGAGGCAGAGTTTCGTCAGTACGCCATGGAGCAGCTGCAGAGGTGAGCCATAGGGCAGCTGCAGAGGTGAACCATGGAGCAGCTACAGAGGTGAGCCATGGATCAGCTGCAGAGGTGAGCCATGGAACAGCTGCAGAGGTGAGCTCATACGTGCGGTCCCAGTAGTGTGATGTTTGATGACATTGAACTGCTGCGAGCCATACAAAAATGTATGACAGTTCCCTAGCACATACATTGATTTGCCATTGTCCCGTACTGTTTCTTGCGGCCACTCAGCTTTCCTGCAAGATCTTACACAACTGAGCCATGTCTCTGTTTCCAGGTACGGCTTCCACGAGTCGCGGTGCGCGGCGGCGCTGGAGGCGGAGGGCGGTCAGCTGGATGCCGCTCTGGACCGCCTTCTATCCGAGTGTTTCCGTCTCTCCCTGTCTTCCCCGCACCCGCCGGGCGGCGACGAAAGCTACCTCTCCGAACGGCACGACGAACTGACCGCGCTGCAGGCGATTTATGCTGACAGTTTTGAAGAGCGTGTGCCTAACCGGCTGTGGAGCGTATGGCTCGATCTAGGCTTCCTGAGTAAGGCATTCGGGCACCGCACGCGCGAACCCTCGCCGCCGCCCGACCGGCGGCCGGCGTGCCGCTATTTCGCGCGGGGTCGGTGTCGATACGGTGCGCGGTGCCGAGACTCGCACGCGCCGCCCGGCGGTCGGCCGCGCACCCCGGAGCACCTGCGGCGACCCGAGGAGCCGGCCAGGTTCCGCCTGGAGCTGCACCTGCCGCCCGACAGTTGGTACCCGCACGAGCCGCCGCTGCTGGCGCTCTGGTGCGAGTGGCCGGCGTTCCCCGCTCAGGTGTGTCTCCAGCTGTCTGCCTGGCTGACGGAGCAGGCGCGCCAGCTGACCGCCGACGGCCTGCCGGTCGTGTTCGCGCTCATCAGTCAGCTGGAGGACCAGGAGGCGGTACTGGAGGCGGCGCGCGGCCGCTACCACCCGCACAGTCTGCCGGCGGAGCTGGCCGCCGCAGCGCCCCGGCTGGACGAGCGTGTCACCGCGGCCCCGGCCGCCGCCCGCAGCTCGGTGCTGAATGGTACTGACCAGTCCCCTGGACCCCGGTCAGCCGGCCGGCGGCGGCGAGACGTGGACCAGCTGAGGCAGAGGTTCGCTGAGAAGGTCCACGACAAATCGTATGTGGAGTTCCAGGAGGCGCGCAGCAAGTTCCCCGCCTGGGGACAGCGGGAGAATATCGTCAACGCTCTGAAGAAAAATCAGGTACGGTAGGACAAAGGAAAAATGTTCTTTGGTGTGGGAACGTCCTGCGTTTCCATACCGGAGGTTCGCGGCCATGTAATATCAAGTTATATTGTTGCACAACGCTTTATCTCCCTTGAGTTTCGCAAAAGTTATATTTTGACGTTTATGACTTATGTGCTCCATGCTCGTGTCTTTCATCAAATGCCAGCCAAGTGCTTGTTCAAAGCCGTTTAGGAATGCTCGAAGCAAATTGACTACAACATGCATCTTAAAAGTAGCCTTCACAAAGTTCTTAGACAACTACCTACTCATTCCGTACCTACGCCTAGTTCGTTTGTGACAAACGCTATTCACCAGACGTGTCGACTAACATTAACCCCTCTGTCGTCGCCAGGTGCTGATCGTCAGCGGTATGACTGGCTGCGGCAAGTCCACTCAGGTGCCGCAGTTCCTGCTGGACCACTGGCTGGCCACCGACTCGACCAGCGACGTCAGCCTGGTGTGCACGCAGCCGCGGCGAATCTCGGCCATCGGCGTGGCCGAGCGCGTGGCTCAGGAACGGACGGAGAAGGTCGGGAACACCGTGGGATATCAGGTACGACCGGGGACGGGAGGGGGGAGAGGGGCGGGCAGGGATGTTGGGTAGAGAGGGAGGAGAGGGAGGTGGGAGATGAGTGGGAAAGGTGATGGGTCGTGGAGAGAGGGATGATGGAGATTAATTGGGACAGCTCGGTAGCTTTTAACGCAGGTGACTTCAACGGGGAACAGCACGGTAGCATCGAACGTCAGAGACTGCAATAAGGAAGAGTGCTGTGACACCTTACGCTGGACAGTGCAACGGATTACAGTACGGTAATACCAAACGCCAGAACTGTCAACGGGGAAAAACGCAGCATACCAAACGTTGGAGACTGCAATTAGGGAACAGTACAGTAACACCAAACGCTGAAGACTGCATTAGGAGACAGCACGGTAACACCGAACGCGGAAACTTCACTGATGACAGATCAATGTACCTAACGTTGGGGACTTCAATGGGGGACAATACAGTAACACTGAACGCTGGAGACTGCATTAGGAGACGGCACAGTAACACCGAACGCGGGAAACTTCAATGGGGGACAGATCAATAACACATAACGTTGGGGACTTCAATGGGGGACAATACAGTAACACCAATACAGTAACACCAAAACTTTACTGGAAATTTCGACGGATAGCGCAATAGCACCAGCTGAGACCTCAACAGATGACATCCTAGTAGCACTAACCAGTTGTAACTTCATGCTACCACAGAAGTGTGTGATTTGTGTACGGTGTAACCCCCATCCCCCGCCGTCATTTCAGATCCGCCTGGAGAGTAAGATGTCGTCGTGGACGCGGCTGCTGTTCTGTACCACCGGTATTCTGCTCCGGCGACTGGAGGCTTCTCATACACTGGAGGGCGTAACGCACGTCATTGTGGACGAGGTGCACGAGCGTAGCGAGGAAAGGTGAGAGGGAGCGAGGAGTAAGACTAGGAGAGACGAGTAATAGAGAGGAGAGACGGGGATGGTCAGGAAATGACGATGCATTTATTTGAATTGATAGCCATGAATACAATTGAACCATGTAGGCGACAATCGGCATTTCGTTAGGTTATTCTGTTGCGGCTGTTGACACAAGAGCATGCTGTCTCGGATAACACATTCCTCCTCTCCCACCGCAGCGACTTCCTGCTGATGATCCTGCGAGACCTCCTGCCCAAGCGGCCCGACCTGCGTCTCATACTGATGTCGGCCACTCTGGACGCCAAGCTGTTCTCGTCGTACTTCGGTGGAGCGCCCGTCATAGATATACCAGGTAGGTTAGGGTACTATCCGTCATAGACATACCAAGTGGGTTGGAGTATCCGTCATAGACATACCAGGTGGGTTAGGATGCCCGTCATAGACATAACAGGTGGGTTACGACTTACGGTACTATCGGTCATAGACATACCAGATGGGCTGGGGTATCAATCATAGACATACCAGGTGGGTGCCCGTCATAGATATACCAGGTAGGTCATATGTCGGTCATAGACATACTTTGTGGGTTAAGGGCCCGTCATAGACCTACCAGAGATGGAGTTAGCTGTCCTGTTCCTTCATAAGCACTATAAGTGGCCTGGTGTCATTCATAGGCATAACTGGACTTGTGCGTTAGGTTTAGTATCTTTCATAGGTAGGCGGAACCAAATTTCACATCTATGCTTAGGTGCTTCATCGAAGCTTGATATCATTTTTATTTCAATCTCTCATATTTGATGAAGCTCTGATTACTGTCATCTCACTTTCCTTACTTCTCCTCACCAGGTAAAACGTTCCCGGTGACTCAATTCTTCCTGGAGGACGCCATAGAGTTCAGTGGGTTCGCGCTGGAGGAGAACTCTCCCCACGCGCGCCGGGAGCGGGACCTACTGACCTCGGACGATGAGAGTGGTCGGCCGGTGGACTGGCGGCGGGAACTGGACCTCAGCGGCCGGCTGGATCCGCCGCCCAGCAGCCGGCGGGATGAGACGCTGCCTGTCAGCCTGCTGTCACAACGATATGCTGGTGAGGGTGGGAGGAGGGTAGCGGGATTTGGTGGGTTTGAGCGGGGAGGTCGGTGGAGAGAAGCTGGATTTTATTTGATAGTTTGATGGGATGGCTGGGAGGCAGGCTGATGCGACTCTGTGGACGCGCCGGGTTGATAGAGTAGTGGATCAGATGGGTGTCGCTTGCAGCTGAGTCACGAAAGGCGCAGTGATGCTGCATGACTGCAATTGCATAACATGACATACAACCTACATGACACGATGAGGTACGGCAATAAGCAACTGTATGGGTAAAACTGTTGGTCAGTCGTGAACTTCTGGTTGCGTTCGGTTTGTGTTTATCGATCTGCGCGCACGTACCCTGATCGTCCCCTTCCCCTCGGCAGACTACTCGGAGCGGACTCGTAAGGCGCTGGCGCTCACTGACCCGGATAAGATCAACTACGACCTGGTGGAGTCGGTTCTGGCGTGGCTGGCGGACGGGGATCACCCGCACCCGCGCACCGGATCTATACTGGTATGGACACATCGGTAGAGCGTGCTAGAATGGGGATGGGGTGGGTGGGGGGTTAGGGTGTGTCGGGTGAGGAAGTTTGATGAGGTTGCGGCACATGTTTTGACGCTTTGTTGGCAGGTGTTTACAGAGGATCACGATGGGCTCTAACCGCAGGCTATTTGAAATAGACAAACTATTCGTTAGTATAATTGTCTTACACTATTGATAAACTCGTGGTAAAATTAGATAAAAGGGTCAAATAAAGACATCGCCAATCGATCCTGTTGTTTATTTCGTGGGTCTTAAAACGGATTTCGTTTAAGGGTTTCGTTTTACCAACCGTCGTCCTGACTGTCTGGATCTTCTTGTTTTTTTTTGTTTTTTTTTTTTTTGGGTGGGGGTGGGGGGTTAGGCCCTTTCGGTCCAATAAGACCATTTCAGAGCCGGGAGGATGATAGGATATAGGGGGAGACATTGGTCTGGGCAGGCACCCTAGTGAGTCGCCGGGGCTGAGCCCGTCCAGAGGACAGACCACCCAGCCCCAAGGCACTCACTGCACCCGGCTACGGGGTGCGCTCCCTCGGGAGCAGCGGTGCCGCTCCAAGGGAGCAGCCCGCATGAGATAAAGTTGCCTGTCCAGCCCGGAGGGGGGTTGCGGCGTGGAGGAGAAGGATTTCAGTATCCTGAGGATAGAAGCACGGAACGGTGGTCTGGATCTTGCTGCCGGGTGTCGTCGGATCCGATCTGACCTTCCCTGTGACCCACGTTTCCAGGTGTTCCTGCCGGGTCTGGCGGAGATAATGACACTACACGACCAGCTGCTGGGCCACCGGACGCTGGGGAAGCGCGCCGGCAGGTTCCTGCTGGTGCCGCTTCACTCCAGTCTCAGCAGCGAGGAGCAGCAGCTGGTATTCAGGTGAGCACTGCAGCTGGTGGTCTTCAGGTGAGGAACAGCTGGTGGTCTGAATGTGAGGGAAAATAGCTGGTACCTATCTGTTGACCATTGTGAGTGTTTGGGTCATCACGGATCCAGATGGTTCAGATGGGGCCAGTAAGCACCTCCCCAGACCCTATGAGCTTCTTCTCGTCATTCAAAGGTCGACTCTGTCGCGTTATGCAGCGCTGTTGCCGCTCGCCCATAAGAGTGCTGTTAGTGTTGTTTGATCAATGTCCAGTACAACAGTCTGCGTGGCCAGCCGGTTCACGCTCTTTCGTAATCTGGTTTGGTCTGTCCTGCAGGAAACCCAAGGCGGGAGTGCGGAAAATCGTCATCTCCACAAACCTGGCCGAAACTTCAATCACTATCGATGACTGCGTGTTCGTGGTCGACTGCGGAAAAATGAAGGAGAAAATGTGAGTTAGTTATTGCTGACCGAAGTTGGATATCGAAAGGATATCCTAAGTATGTTGAATATTTTCGCCGAGGATGTTTTGGATCTAATCAGAGTGAGCTGCAGCTCAACGTATGAAGTGTCAAACGCAGCTCATGTTGCATGGATTTTGTGTTGCATTTAGTTCCCTCCCCCCCCCCCCCCCACACACGAAATAGTTGTTCTGTCACCTATGCCCCTCATCTTATTCCTTTGCCCCCCCTCTGTTACACTCCCGGTGCCCAGTGGGCCCCCTTCATGTCCCGCGTCCCCGACCGACGCCCCGTGACTTGGGCCTACGTCTGTCTCATAACACTGACTGGTGCCCCTGGCTGGCGGCACACAGGTTCGACCCCCAGCGGCGGATGGAGAGCCTGGAGACGGTGTGGGTGTCGCGCGCCAATGCCGACCAGCGCAAGGGCCGCGCCGGCCGCGTCATGCCCGGCGTGTGCTTCCACCTCTACACCAGCTACAGGTCAGACGCGGCTCTCACTGTAGGGGATTGATTGTGGTAACACCATTTACAGATCAACCAGGCTCGCTGCCGAGGATTGCCGTAGTAAAGCTTACTGTTGGCGATTTAACATCTACACGCATTATGGCGGGATGTGAATCGAAACTGAGTATGTGGTAGCTTGCTAGCCAGTTGCAGCCAGAATAGTCGTGGCTTATCCCTGAAGCAATTAAGCCATTCATTGCGATACACGGTAATCTTCATTAGTTAACTGGCAAGCAGATGTGGTTGTACGAAAGCTGATGCAAGTATTGCAGATGCTAATGCTTTTGTGTTGGTAGCCAATAAAGTATGCCTTCTTGATTATGAGACCACAAAGTCTTCAATAGACGTAGATGATGGTAAACTTATCCTGGACCTGTTTGTAAGTAGTACTGTTTACTTGTGATGCCTGCACCCCTGTGCTCTGACCTGTGTGACCGGCCAGGTACCGTCACCACATCCGCTCCCAGCCCATACCGGAGATCAAGCGCGTCCCCCTGGAGCAGCTGGTGCTGCGCATCAAGATCCTGCCGCTCTTCACCGGCAAGGACGTCAACAAGGTGCTCGGTATGTTGACTGACCGGGATATCATAGAAGTCAATCGAGAGGCGGGGGCCTGAGCTACATGACGCTTATCCTCGCAAAAACAATAGGCGCTTTTTACGTCCGGCTACTCAGCGCAATATGCATTGTGAGAATAGGCTGCAGTACGTTAGCTGGTAGTACAGAACATAGCAGTGCATGCACTTCGGTAGCCGGTACGCCACACTGAGACCCTGATTAGTTACTGGCCTCACCGCCCCCTTCCCAGGCCTGCATAGTACCTGACCCCCCGCCCCTTCCTCCAGGTCGAGTACTCGAGTCCCCCGAGGCGGGCAGTATCTCGGCGGCCGTGCGCCGCCTTCAGGAGCTGGGCGCTCTCGATCACCAGGGTCAGATGACGCCGCTCGGATACCACGTGGCCGCGCTGCCCGTTGATGTCAGGTGAGGGGGCGCCTGCCGTGACACCCGTCGTAGCGTTAATTGTGACGTGACGTGTGGGGCTACGGGGTTCTGTGACAGTGTGTATCTCTATAAGACATGGTCACGGTGTAAGGGTACCAGGTCCTCACATGTGTACCGTGACGTGACAGATTGTTACGTAGTTTCGGTGACAACCTGCGTGTTAGGTAAGATTATCGATTTTCGAGGGACTCGAGTGTCGTTCCGCTTAGGTGACTAAATGTCTGCAGTGTTGTCAGGCCCCCTCCCCCACCACGTCGTGAAATCCCACTCTAGGCTCCCACGCATCACGTTCACACTCTCCCTCGCCGCCAGGATCGGGAAGCTGCTGCTGTTTGGCGCCGTGTTCCGCTGTGTGGACGCCGTCACCACCATCGCCGCCTGCCTCAGCTTCCGCTCGCCGTTCGTATCGCCGTTCTCTCGCCGCGCCGAGGCTGACGCCCGACGGAGGGCGTTCGCAGTCGGCAACAGCGACCAGCTGACCATGCTGAATGGATACAGGGTATGGCGGCAGAGACGGGTCGGGGAGGGAGGGGGGGAAGGGGTTCGGGTGGGGTGGTATGAGAAGCGGCGGTCTTTTTGCCGGTGAAATAGAGGAGCGATACCTCTTGTTTGGCAAGCGATGCAGTGTTAGTAGTGGGATTTTACATCGCATTTTTCATTCAATAGGTATTTGTTTATCTGTATACACCGTCAGTGAAGCAGTGCCATTGAATTTCGCGGCGGTTTTGCGATCTGTAGCTACGTGACCGCACAGTTATCTGACTGGACTTTTCTGCCTTCTACCCGCAGGGTTGGAGGGAGGCCACTGAACGCTCCTCAGCCGCCGGCTACAACTTCGCCCAGGAGAACTTTCTACAGGTGAAGACGCTTGAGATGCTGGCTAGCATGAAGAACCAGTTTGTCGAGCTGCTGAGCAGTATTGGGTTCGTGCCGGCCGGCCTGACGGCCCGGGAGCTGGCGAGGCGGGCGCGCGGGCGAGCCGACGGCGTGCTCCAGGCCACCGACCAACAGGTGAAGTGCTCAGTGTGCTCCAGGCCACCGCACAACAGGTGAGGTGTGCCGCAGGATACCTAGTAACGGCTGGTGAGGATGATCGATGTTGTGATACCGTCCCGGTTTATACTCATACGCGACAGAAATGGTAGACGACTTTGGCTAGGCAGGCCTTACAGACGACGAAATACTAAAATACTAAAATATTGCGGTTAATTTAATGTCCAACGTTGTTGGACATCCAACGGACATGTGCTTGCATATTTCCTGTCAAACCACGTTCATACCATCCTGCACATCCTGGCTTACGTCTTCAGCTCAACCCCTTCACATCTCAACACCTCCTCGTCCCTACCTGTGTTCACAGCTGAACGAAAACAACGACAACAGCCGCTTGGTGTCGGCGGTGCTGTGCGCGGCGCTCTACCCGAACCTGGTCAAGGTGCTCAAACCGGAGACCACCTACACCAAAAGCGAGGGCGGCGCGCTGGCCAAAGACACCAAACACGACGAGCTCAAGTTTAAGACCAAGGAGGACGGCTATGTGAGTGGTAGCGAGGAGGGGGGGGGGAGAGGGGGGACAGTTGGTTGTTTGGTGGGAGCTTTGTCTTCGGTTGTTTTGGTGGTGGGACTCGTCGCTGTCACAATCATCGGAAGTTTTGTTGAGAATATGTCTAGTTGAATGGGTAGTTGTACACAACATTCTTTCTAGTCTTCGATTGCGTGTAAAACACTGGTTACCAATTTTACTTTAGACTAAAGCTGCATCAAAATCTCTTGACTCTTGCACAGATGAGAGTCGGACAATAGGACAAGCTCATAGTCAATATAATTTAGAGGACGTTTCACCACCTCCCACCCGTCACCTGACCGGACCTTTACCGCCAGGTGTTCATTCACCCCGTCTCGGTGAACGCCAAGGTGAACAAGTTTGAGTCGCCCTACCTCGTCTACAACGAGAAGGTGAAGACGTCTCGTGTCTTCATCAGGGAGTGCTGCATGGTACCCGTCTACCCGCTGCTGCTGTTCGCTGGTTAGTGGCGAGATTACTTTACTACTCGTCAGTGGTAGTAAGAGCAAGATTAGATTAGTCAGTAAGAGTGCCGCAAGTAGCGGAACAGCCATGTCTTGCACACCGTTCACATCAGCTGATTTGGAGCATACGTGCATTTATGTATCATTTAACGGTCGTATTCCCGCCGTGGTGCGTTGGAGCGCTGATAGACCGCTATTGGGGAGGAAGCTCCAATACTTCTGAGGAAGCTCCTCCACTACTCTCACCCCCTCCCCTATGTCTCTCCAGGTGACGGCATTGAGGTGGAAAAGCACGGAGAGGAATACATCGTCTCCCTGGACGAGGGCTGGATCAAACTCACCTGTCCGACGCAAACGGTACGGTGTGATGGTGCGGCTAACATCGTGCCTGTTTGTTTTGTGGCGTTAGGCCCTTTTGGTCGGAGACCTTTTCCCCGAGCCGGAAGGATGACTGGGGTTATAGGGGAAGATATTGGTCCGGGCGGCCACCCTGGTGCGCTGACCCGCCCTCGCTTCTCGCCGCCGCTGCTCCCTCTTCGTCCCGGTCACCACTTTTCAAACTCACCGCCGTAACTTGTCTTCTTTTTTACTCTCCTCCCGGTCCGTTCGTGTACCTTTTTGTCTGCCCTGTAAACTCGCGACAGGCGCTATTATTCGTGATGGGCACAGATGAGATGGAGAGGGTTGAATAAAACTGCAGTTACAGTTGTCTGTGTCCGGTGCCCGCCGGGTCCCTGACCAGCGCCTCTGGCGGCAGATCGCCGCACTACTCAAGGAGCTGCGCGGGGAGCTGGATCGCCTGCTGGGAGAGAAAATCGAAAACCCCACTCTGGATCTGGCCGCCTGTCCGCGCGGACAGCGCGTTATCGCCGCCATCGTCACGCTCGTCACGGCCGAACACTGACGTCACGGTGACGTAACGTGACGTGGCGGCGGCCCGTGAGGAGGGAGATACTGCACAACATGGCGTCCGAGGTGTCGCGCGGAGGTGAGACGCCACGCCTCGGGGCGGGGCTCTCCGGAATGTCATACGATAGCCGTGGCTATCGTTACGGCTAGGGCGTTGGCCGAAGGCCCCGCCCTGGGTGCTATCATACCTCAGAGCAGGCGTGGAGTTTAACGTTCGTGAGTGAGGCCCATCTCAGTGTCACTGTTATGCGCATGGGGGCGGTAATGATGACAGCTGACATCCCCCCTCGACTGCGGACGCCGGGCCTTAGTTCTAGTCGACGCTAATGACATGGCCTGCTACGGCCAAAAATAGCTCGTGTTTTGAATATCCTACCCAGTATGAATTATTGAAATGCTATTTTTCATAACACTCGACTCGTCCTTAAGTATAGTTTTGTACTGAGCGATTTGGACACGTCCTGTGTCAGCTGGGTTTTCAGCTCATCAGGCCTGTTATGAGCTAATTGCAGCTCAATTGTTCAGGTGTGGGCTATGTGTAGCTCACCGCTGCGGTCGTCAGATGTCTGCAGGTTACCTGTCTTGCGAGCTATCTGCAGCTTAAACTGCGCAGATTTCTGACAACTAACGTGATACGCTTGACTGGTTCTCTTATAGGAGGGGTTTGTACCGGTGAAGCTGATGGACTTGTTGACTGTTAACCTGTTGAATGCATTGTGTGCTATAAATGGTACGGTCTTTGGATGTTGGAGACTATCGCAAAAGTCACCGGCTTAACGACAGCAAGTCAGTGTTATTGGTTGAACGAGGGTGTTTATCAAGCGATCAATGAATAGGAACACTAAAATGAAAAAAATATTCCCACTGAAAATGGCTTAAAACAAGTCGGTTAATGACCGCAACGCCGACAGTCTTACCATAGCTTTGAGAGAGGCCAGTGCCCACTGCACAAGTTTCAGGGAAATGATCTTCATTTCTAAATGAGTCCAGCATTTCGTGGCGGACAAACCAAACGTTCATTTAATAAGCGTAAGGGACGTGCTTCTTTCCCAGCATTCCCTAACCGTCAATCGATTCAGACGTTTGATCAGCCCTGCATTAGGACCACCTGTTCAGACATCCGCCTTTGGACTGGGCGTGGAACAAACAAAAGTATCATGTCTTAAAGAGCGTAACGACTAACGAATAACGATGGGGGGGGGGGCTCAGTGGAAAGTGGCGCGGTCGCGGTGTAAGGATCACGACTCAACATCTGTGTTAGTTCCGTGAACGTGCCGCCTTTCGTTCGTTGCGCCCCTGCATTCAGGATTTGTGGCTTATTCCAGCGGAGCCGTTATGACATTACGTGAAGCAACTGCGGTTGTAACTTAATTCGTCAAGGGATACAAGTAGGTATCCGTGATCAATTACTGCACTTCTTTAACACAAAATACGTGCAAATGCCTGATCCTGTATTGACTGAAAGCGTAGACATTGTGCAAAAAGGGAAAATTATTGACTGCTACTGCCAAAAACGCATCCAGTTTGGAGCACAAGCCACAAGCAACGGAGTAGGTATATTTTGCTACCACATGTACATTGTAAAGCTGCTGGACGGTGGACATTAGAAGAAACAGCAACACCGCAACCAGTTCCTGCACGTAATCACTGCACGTAGACCCCAATTAGTTTTCTCGATCACTTTTATTATTATTTAGCGGGAGGCGCCTTTCGGTAGTTCGTACCAGTCTCAGAAGTTCGTTCGAAGCTCGGCCCGCTGAGGACGCTGCTTCGGTTAGCGAAGTGAGCACTGCTGATATCCTCACTGCCGGGTGTGGAGCGCGGCCAGCAGGGCGGCCGGCAGCAGCAGCAGCAGCGCCGGCGTCGACAGGCCGGCAGAGTTGCAGTAGTCGGTGGTGCAAGCGCACCCTTCTTCGCCCGAAGTATATTTTATGCAGCCATTATAGGCGTCCAAATCGCAGCCAAGTGCCACAATGGTTCCATTGACAGCGAGCTTGACACAGGTGTTATAGCCTGTCCGACAGGTCCCCTTGAACTTGTCCTGTGTTTCGTCGAATCCTACGCAGGACGGCACCGCAGAGACTGATTCTTTGGGATCCGATAGCATCGTAAACTTGGCCGAAATTCCGGTGGGCTTCAACTTGGTCGGTGTCGCACAATAGTAGCATTTGCGTGCCTGACAGGCGGGCAGCAGCGCCAGCAGGGCGGCCAGAGCCAGCAGCGGCACCAGCGGACGGCAGCTCATGGCGGAGGAGTGGAGCGGTGCGCACCTCAGCGAAGACAGCAGCAGAGCGAGTGGCGGCAGAGTGGCGGGGGCAACTGCGCGCCTCCTTTATAACCCACGCAGCGGGATGTCATGGCTCCATATCTATGCATGCCTTGCTATCGCTCTGATCCGCGCCTTTCGCTGTGCAGGAGCCACGCGGCGGCTTCAGCCATCGGATTTCATTGAGGTTCCTATCGGATCTGTTAACTTTCTGTGTCTAGACACTTGCACACATAGCTCTGCGCTGACGAAAGGCAAACAGACGAACCTATCGACACACCCAGCGAAGGCATTTCCGGGAGATGCGAGAGCGTCGTTTTCAATAGAGAGGCTTTGACTTCGAGGGACCAGGACGTCTATCTGCTCCTTCGGTGAACTTGCGCTCAAACCCAGTGGAAAAGTACATGTCTTTTTGTGCGTCTGGCAACATTGCTTTGTGTCACATTTAATCTCAAGATCGACATAAGTACGCAAATTTCTACCAAAGAAGGATAGGATATACCGTCATCTGTTCTTATTTTTAATATTGAGGTCCTATTCAGTGTTCATTTGCTCATAATGCTGCTTCGTAATGAGATGCTCATGGTTTTGCTCTTGGAAAATTTTTCCCGCAGATTTCATGGTGGAGTGTTTTAGTGGGAATAAATTATAAACTTGCCGATCACTCTACAGGGTGACGATCACCATACTTGAATGCAGCCCCAGCATTCCTTCAACACTGTGCTCAGTGCAGTCAACATACATTTTGTTGACTGCAATCATGCTAAGCTAACAACATGTAGCTTGCAAGGCTTATCCCTCGCCGGCCGAGGGGGGGGGGGGCGGGTGCCGCCCCCCCCCCATATGGTTTTTTCGCAATAGCTCCGAACACGCTAGCGATAGAGAGCTGAAACTTGGCATACCTGACCTTTGATCCAAGCCGCATCTTTTGACACCAACCGCATTTTTGGGTCAGGTCAGGTCACTGACCTATGACGTCATAAGTGAACCTCTGCACGGTCTTCAGGTGTCGCAACTTCGCAACGCCCTCACTGCCAGAGGAGATGTTACAGGGAAATGAAACTTGCAGGATCTAGTATCGATTATGAGTCTCACAACTTGTATATCTCGGATTTTTCCTAAAGGTCATATGAGGTCAGGTCATTTTCGTGACCTCACCATTATAAGTCAATGGGGAAAAATGAAAACTGCTATTCTGGCGCTGGGAACGATCTCCAACTATCTCAAGCACACAGAATCGTGATTTGATGCACTCCTTGCAAGGTTAGGTGCGTCATTTTTGCAATGTTGACCTTGCGTGACGTCATTTATGACGTCATCAAGGTCATATTAGTTTTTCGTCAATAACTCTTGATCAAATTGAGCTAGCGAGTCGGGAAAGCCACCAATGGACTCGGGAAGACCTGCCGAATCGAATGATATGCGACATGACCTCTTTCGACCAACTTCGTGACCTGGGGGTGCTGACCTGACCTTGACCTGAGGTCAACACACCAAGTTGACCTGACCCGGATAAAAAGTATATCATTCGACGCGCCTGAGCGAGGCGAACACGATGCTGCCAAAATCGCGGCTCTGCGGCCGTTTTTTGCGAAGTTATTCACCAAAAACTGAACCGTACCTTGGGGCACTTGACCTGACCTCAGAGGTCACCGGTTGACCTAGGAACTTAAAATCGGGTACCAATCTCTGCGTCTCGTAACGGCGCACACGCTCGTTTTTTCTGCGACGCGCTAGCTCCACCAGGGGCGAAACGGCGAGGGGGGTCGTACCCGCCCCCCCCCCTCGGCCGGCGCGTATGTAGAAAACCAATAGAATAGGTCCGGCGAGGGTTATTGGAGCAGAAAAGAAAGCATGTGGGGAAGAGTTGGCAGAGACTGCCCAACAACTGGAATATAGAGTTTCGGCCGTGGTGCTTCCAGTTTCCCACATACCGCCGTAGAGTCACTGGTCCTCATACTTCAGTGGAGAAGCGTCATCCGCTGTGAAGTGTGCACGACTCCTACGGATCAACTAAAATAAAGTGAGATACAGGTAAGTGATATCGATTTAATATTGGACCTATGGGCATTGGGCACCATGCAGTAAACACATGGCCATAAATGTGAATTAAGGCGTAATTAAGCGTGTCGTACGATTTCAGCGATAACAAAACACCTGCTACCTGCAAATGTCAGCCGTTGTGTCATATTTCAAGCATTTCACCTCCAGTCCAGTTGCAGATTAAAATTAAACAGCACATTTCAAGCTGAGCTTGTCCCAAGGCGAGCTCTAGTGCGAACCCCGCGAGTCGGTCAGCCTGCCGGCGCCCCAGCGATAGGACCTGCCCGATAAACCAGATACGAGAACAGTGCACTACTAACAGTCCACCATTGAGCAACGCCAGCACGCTGTAAATCCATCACGCCAGCGACAGCGGCATGTCCGGCTTAACGGCCGACCGATAATCTACGGCAGCGGCGAGAGACGCCGGTCCCCTCCCCACAGTGTCCACCGATCCGGTCCCCTCCCCACAGCGGCGAGAGACGCCGGTCCCCTCCCCACAGCGGCGAGAGACGCCGGTCCCCTCCCCACAGCGGCGAGAGAGGCCGGTCCCCTCCCCACAGTGTCCACCGATCCGGTCCCCTCCCCACAGTACCAACCGATCAAATGACAGCAAGGGCAGATCAGGCCGTGGTTATGTTCAACCTAAGACATAAGGCAAGCAGTCGAGAAGAAAGCTCCGGTAGAAGCCGTTGAAATAAATCATATTTGTATTTAATGGAATAACCTTCTGTTCAAAATTCTAAAAATTGCCAAAAGTTACCAAAAACACTTGAATATATTTCGGAGGCGTTCCTTCATCGGTTCAAGTGATAAACATTTATAGCGCCACATTTGCCGTTAACATATCTGATCCATGTTTTTTTAAATATAAATCTCGCGTCTAGGTTGAGATGTGTCTTCTAATTTACATCGGCAGAATTACCTTTACAGCGTACGAACAAAATTAGCTCCTACACTTAACAGGTTAATAGGTCATAATGTTGATACTATTCACACTTACAATGTTAATAGGTTACAATATAGGGGGAGAGAAAGCGGGCAGGGATGAGGGGGGGGGGAGAATTCTAGGCAGGTCACATCAGTACTATGCCTACCAAAAGTAAACACCGCTGCCTGACAGGATAAATAAGTATGCAAACGAATGAATGACTTGAATGAATGCACGAATGAATGAAGTATGAAAGAGAGGGGCATAAACATATTATAGGTGAGCAGTCGAATAAGAGAGAGAGAAAGAGAGAGAGAGAGAGAGAGAGAGAAATACACACAATAATAATCGCTTCACATAAGAAGTGTGTCTGTGTGGGGGGGGGGGGGTCGTTCAACAAATCGAAACACGTCTTATACCAGAGCCTATGATCAATAACCGTGTGGTATTCTAGCTCCTACCGGGGACCCGTAATGGACACCACTACTTGACGGTTTACACGATCGTCCATGATGCCACGTTTGTGTTGAGTGCTGGTCGCTCGTCTCTAATATGAAGAGATTCAGCAATCTTTCTCTCGCGCTCAGTCTTGCACACTTGTATTATTGCAGCTGTCACGTGTGATGGGCTCGGTTGTATGCCACGGTGATCTTCCCGGAAATGGTCCCCGAGAGGTGAATCTCTGCGTTGGTTTTTGGCGTCTCGTAAATGTTCATTGTACCGGAGTCGCACCATTCTGCCGGTTTCCCCGATGTATGTCTTCTGACAGAGGGTACACGTCAGTTGGTAGATGACTCCGGATGTGTGACATCGTCCTCGAAGACCCGCCGCGCACGCATGACAGCGAGCTCCTCCCGGGCAGGGTGGGGGTTTGAGGGCTGACCGTACCAGATGTTGTTTGATGGTGTTATCGTTCGTCCAGGCCACTCCCAGATCCTGCTGGCCGCTGCCCCTCACCACCGCCTGTACGGATCTTGTCAGCTGGTCGTCGATGAAGGGGAGAACTAGTCGGGTGATTGATGTTCTGTTCCTTTTCCTTTGGTCTGTGGATTTCATACAGTCCTCAATGGCTCTGTTGATTGTCTTGAGCTTGTATCCATTGTCGGTGAAAAGGTGTGTGATCCGTGCGATGCTACGCTGCCGTGCGTCTTCGCTGCTTGAGAGCTTAAGAGCACGTCGTATTTGAGCATAGATGACTGATTTCTTGACCTTCCATGGCTGTGCGGAGTCCGCATGGATGATGATGCCAGCGGACGTGGGTTTGATGTGGAGTTCGGTGACGTATCTTCCACTGTCGTCTACTGTGATGGCAGTGTCCAGGAACGGGATGGTCCCACTCTTCTCCGTTGTTTCGATAGTGAAACGTATCGCTGGGTGTGCGTCATTGATGTGCTGTAGGTATTGTTGGAGGTTGTCTGATCCAGTCGTCCATACTCCGAGTACATCATCAATGTACCGCATATATATGTCAGGCTTGGACGCTGCTGAACCGTTGAAGCGCTGCTCGAGCTGGTCCATGAAGATGATCGCGAGCGGAGGGGCAACTCTGCTACCCATGGCTAGCAGAGCTAACCGCTCTCTAGCCATGGGTAGCAGAGTTGCCCCTCCGCTCGCGATCATCTTCATGGACCAGCTCGAGCAGCGCTTCAACGGTTCAGCAGCGTCCAAGCCTGACATATATATGCGGTACATTGATGATGTACTCGGAGTATGGACGACTGGATCAGACAACCTCCAACAATACCTACAGCACATCAATGACGCACACCCAGCGATACGTTTCACTATCGAAACAACGGAGAAGAGTGGGACCATCCCGTTCCTGGACACTGCCATCACAGTAGACGACAGTGGAAGATACGTCACCGAACTCCACATCAAACCCACGTCCGCTGGCATCATCATCCATGCGGACTCCGCACAGCCATGGAAGGTCAAGAAATCAGTCATCTATGCTCAAATACGACGTGCTCTTAAGCTCTCAAGCAGCGAAGACGCACGGCAGCGTAGCATCGCACGGATCACACACCTTTTCACCGACAATGGATACAAGCTCAAGACAATCAACAGAGCCATTGAGGACTGTATGAAATCCACAGACCAAAGGAAAAGGAACAGAACATCAATCACCCGACTAGTTCTCCCCTTCATCGACGACCAGCTGACAAGATCCGTACAGGCGGTGGTGAGGGGCAGCGGCCAGCAGGATCTGGGAGTGGCCTGGACGAACGATAACACCATCAAACAACATCTGGTACGGTCAGCCCTCAAACCCCCACCCTGCCCGGGAGGAGCTCGCTGTCATGCGTGCGCGGCGGGTCTTCGAGGACGATGTCACACATCCGGAGTCATCTACCAACTGACGTGTACCCTCTGTCAGAAGACATACATCGGGGAAACCGGCAGAATGGTGCGACTCCGGTACAATGAACATTTACGAGACGCCAAAAACCAACGCAGAGATTCACCTCTCGGGGACCATTTCCGGGAAGATCACCGTGGCATACAACCGAGCCCATCACACGTGACAGCTGCAATAATACAAGTGTGCAAGACTGAGCGCGAGAGAAAGATTGCTGAATCTCTTCATATTAGAGACGAGCGACCAGCACTCAACACAAACGTGGCATCATGGACGATCGTGTAAACCGTCAAGTAGTGGTGTCCATTACGGGTCCCCGGTAGGAGCTAGAATACCACACGGTTATTGATCATAGGCTCTGGTATAAGACGTGTTTCGATTTGTTGAACGACCCCCCCCCCCCCACACACAGACACACTTCTTATGTGAAGCGATTATTATTGTGTGTATTTCTCTCTCTCTCTCTCTCTCTCTCTCTCTCTTTCTCTCTCTCTTATTCGACTGCTCACCTATAATATGTTTATGCCCCTCTCTTTCATACTTCATTCATTCGTGCATTCATTCAAGTCATTCATTCGTTTGCATACTTATTTATCCTGTCAGGCAGCGGTGTTTACTTTTGGTAGGCATAGTACTGATGTGACCTGCCTAGAATTCTCCCCCCCCCCCTCATCCCTGCCCGCTTTCTCTCCCCCTATATTGTAACCTATTAACATTGTAAGTGTGAATAGTATCAACATTATGACCTATTAACCTGTTAAGTGTAGGAGCTAATTTTGTTCGTACGCTGTAAAGGTAATTCTGTCGATGTAAATTAGAAGACACATCTCAACCTAGACGCGAGATTTATATTTAAAAAAACATGGATCAGATATGTTAACGGCAAATGTGGCGCTATAAATGTTTATCACTTGAACCGATGAAGGAACGCCTCCGAAATATATTCAAGTGTTTTTGGTAACTTTTGGCAATTTTTAGAATTTTGAACAGAAGGTTATTCCATTAAATATATTACATATAATGCTGTTCACCAGAGTGCTTAGTCATTTGATTTAAATCATATTTGTATAATATCGTCCTCAGAACTCAGAACCCAAACGCAAACACGAAAACAGGAAATGTGACACTTCATGGGCGAGATAGTCGAATGGGCACCAATTGTTGTGATGATTACAGAAGGCTGCAGTGCAGACCATCATAAAAAGGAGACTTAAAGGTTGTAACTGGTAATGTTCCAGCAACAAAAGTTTGATGGCCTCGCGGCAAGTGAAAGCAAGACTTCTTGCTTTGCACTGACTTAAAACTGGGTATCTGGAAGAAAAGGGGCGTTGCTCCAGCCGCCAGTCATGCCTAAAAACATGCCAGTTTTGTCCATGTATTGGAAGAGAAGTATCAACGACATCGGAAACAACGTCAGGTGCTATCATTTCGAAATTCGATAGGCACTTAACCTATGACACTTACGGCACAGTGCAACAACCCTATAATGGGCAGCCAACCTGCGCTTTACATCAGGGTATTGCACATCCAATAACAGCTACAAGGCATTGCATGCTATCTTTGTACATGTGGTTCCCGGTTACTTGAACAAACGTGTTAGTTCCCCATGAGCTAATAATGGCACTGACGTGAAACCCTCACGTTGGTATTGTGCCCGTACGACTAGGGTTATTCTCGGCGGCGGGTATATGTTTTGATTTTATTCCCCAAAGGACAATCCAGTATATGACTGAACTGAAAGTATAAACTATTTAGGTATAGGCACTGCACTGTAAGCATCCCACCTTGTGGGCATTCAATACGTGGCCTCACATTGCCGCAATATCAGACCAAACTCCTCCAGCTTCAGTTCACTTGAGCACAATCTGTCGCTTCCGCATTACACCCCAAATGAGTAAAGTAGCACCAAACCTCAGCTCAAATGCCAGCAATGTAAATTCTACAATCCGAGATGCTGAGGATATCCGAAGACGTCGCCTTCCTCCACACCACAATATCAAAAGATCGTCAAAATCACATAACTGGTCTCGGAAGCCCGTTGAGTTGACTGTAGCGCTAGCACCCCCTCGCTCTTCACCATAGCGTCATCTACCCAAGGCCCTATATACCCATCTACCGTCCTATGAAGGCCGGGGATCACCGAGGACTGAGTCGCCTCCGCAGGGGACAGGGGCGACATCTAGTGACTGTCCCTAGTACTTACAGTACTCGGCCAGGCCGCTGTACCACCTGACAGCACGATAGCGCCGCTGGCAGCGCCCCCTTCCCTCAGAGCAGAACTCACTGTTTCTCTCGCTCCCCTCTCCCCCCCCCCCACCCAAACTGAGCCCGCCACGTCCCTGTCCCGCCCGGCGCGCCTCTGCCGTCCGTCCCCCCTCTAGGCGCCGCGGACGCTCAGAACAGACCCTCGACGTTGCCCGTATCCAGGTTCAGATCGACGTCATAGATGCACGGCCGGGTCGGCAGGCCCGGCATGGTGCTCATCTGGAACGGACGGCAGTCGGGCGGTCAGGTCAGGTCACGTCAGGTCGGCTCCGGTCAGGTCAGGTTAGATCAGATTAGCTACGAGCCGGACGAAGCAAAAACCGTGAGAGACAGGCCACCTCCTCCCAAACAAAATCCAAAGAATGGAAGCCCCCCCCCTGACCCCGGAGGCGGCAGCGGACCCTGCTGGACAGAGCCGTTAGTCACCCCCTCCCCCACCCTACCCCTCACCCAGCGTCACCTACCGTTCCGACCAGCGGGTACAGGAAGCCGGCGCCCACGCTGGCGCGCACGTCCCTGATGGGTAGCGTGAAGCCGGTGGGCGCGCCCTTCTTGGCCGGATCGTGAGACAGAGACAGGTGGGTCTTGGCCATACAGATGGGCAGCTCACTGAAGCCCTGCGGTCCGGTCAGGGCGGCCGGTCAGGTCACAGGGCAGATAGAGGGGTCTACGGTGACAGGGGTCACAGGTCAGATAGAGGGGCTGACAATGACAGGGGGCTGACAATGACAGGGGTCACAGGTCGCGCAGAGGGGTCTACGGTGACAGGGGTCAATTCAAAAGTCACAGGAGGGCAGTCATGACAAACTTCAAGGACAGTCGTCAAAGGTTGTGACGAGCAAATCATTCGGGTGGCCTGGTCCATACCTGTCTGGTGTAGTCTCTATTGAAAAGTACCGTGCAAGGGTGTTGCGATGCCATCAAGCCCCGAGTGAGGAAGGGCTGCTAAATTGAGAGTCACTGAAACCGCTGATCTGGGGAATGACTGAGAATGTCGTAGAGGAAGGGACCGAAGTCGAACCGACTTTAGCCGTTGCTTCTCCTGTGTGGCGGTACTCAAAGGAGACCGTACCCTCCGTACCTGTCTGGTGTACCGTTCGTACCTGTCTGGTGTACCGCTCCACCTGCGCGGCCGCCTCCTCAGACAGCTCCACGTCGTCAGCGCCGTATATCTCGCGCGCGATTATACGGATTTTGTCCACGATCGGCAGCGTCAGGTCATACAGGAACCTGGGAAGGCACCGGGTCAGGTCAGGGTCAGGGCAGGTTATTTGTTGTGCATGGGAAAACGCAGAGCCATGTCAGCATCATATCAAGTAGAGTTCTGCACGGCTGCAATTTTCCACAGCCTAGCCGCCCCGCAGCCGTGGCTCCACAGCCACAGCCGCCCACAGCCGTGGCAAACTGTGGGCAGCCAGCCGTCAGCCGCCCGTGGATACTTTCAATGAAATGCAACCAAATAGTATATAAGTTGTTTTTAGTTGAAACATATAGCCAAAAGCACATTGCAATGGGCTGTAGATTCTCAAGCTCATGAAGCATCATAGGTTAAGTGGTTGTGTATATGGCTTTAGACCGAAGGCCTGAAGCATGATGCGCAACGCATGCCTACACAAGCCCTTGCAAGGGGTTAAGAAAGATGGGTAGGTAGGTACCTACATCAACAGAAAACATAAACAATGAACCAGAATAGAAGCACTAGTTAGCAGTGTAGACATCTAATGCCAAATCCTGAAGCATGGTTGTGGGACAGAAAAACAGACCCTGATGCTTTTCCATTTCATTATCAATGTTAGGTATGGAAAATGAAACTGAAGTTGATGGACTGTCAAACAGTGATTGTCTAGTCAAAACTCTTGCTTCTTTCTTACCTTGCATATTTTCTGGGGTGTGATATGCCAGGCTTGAAGCAGCCTTCTGAGCAAGTCTCAAACTAATTTGATATGCAAGTCATCAAAACACTAGTGAGCATCCAACCAAGAAAGAAAAACATTCATCTATTTTGATTTTTCCAAATAATGATCTTCGCTCAAATCACCAAGGACGTGCGAGCCACAATTGCCTCTTTCAATGAAAAATTTTACTTGAGTTTTTAATGACGTCAATAACAAAGAAGTGGCAATAAATTGTTTTGTGTCACTATAAACAGCCATAAAAATTATACTTAATAAATAATAATGCTATACAGTTTAAAACTTGTTCTCAGACAAAGAATTAGTATCAAATTTTTACATTTTTAGAAGAAGACGTCATTTTATTAGTAAAGTCAATAGCTCGCGTAAGAAATATTGTGTTCAGGGTTTTCACCGTAATGTGAATTACGTGTTCGGGGTTTTCACCATCATGTGAATTAACCGTAAGTAAGGTTCATGCTCACTTATAATTTAATTCCATTGGTTTCGTCGATCTGTATTTTCTGTTAGCGGTCACTCACACACCAGTTAGAACATAAGGCGCCAGTTTTATATTATGTAATTGGACTTGCCGAAAATCCAGAAATACATCTAAGAGTTATTTTAGATAATATTTTATGAAGTCTTTACCTGCCTTTACCTAGGCGTGATTTCTTTTTCTATTACCTGAAAGAATTATTGAACGCTCGTCTTCAATAGCTGTAAGGTGCTCTCCTAATGACCAGGTGAGGTTGATTTGAGAGGGATGTGACAATGCAACACGTTGCATTTTCTGAAACTGTCAAGCTCTTGATGATGAAGGAACAATTGGTACCTATAATTAGTATTCTGTACCAGAGTGCAAACTCCCCTACAGCAAATGGTAAAACCATTACAGGTTTTCAAAGGCTTCACCACTTTCAATGTTGCTGGGCATCCTTTGCATGATTTTTACAGGCTAGACTGCTTATCAGAATGTACAGGGTGTCCGGAAAGTTCTGGCGCCCCTTTTGGACGTCGTCTAACGCGCGCTGTGATTATTGGACTTTCAACCAATCACCGCAGATATGACCCCTGGTTCACCGCTCAGCTAGGGGTCGCGTAAATATGACCTTGAAACCGTTTTCAGTGCTAGGTATATGGGCGAAGATGCGCCTTGTCGCTGAGAGCCCGCGCGCGGGGGCCCGGTGCGGCTTGAACGAGGCGCGAGTTGCAACGCGATGCGGCGTTTCCCGGCGAACGGTTGAGCAGGCAAAGGTGCACTCCAGATCGGAAATGTCTTAGAAAATATTCTCACTCAGCTACAACCACGGTATGCCAAAGCTGCTGAGATTGAAGCAGCATTTCAGCGGCAATCGAAGAAAATCTTGGGTCTGATGGACACAAATGTCCCATCATCTTCGTCAAGGTCAAATAAATGACTGATAGGCTGGTCCACGAGGGGTTCCTGGACACGACAATCAAGGCGACTTGCCCTAAGGGTCATGTCGCACTTCAACAGCACGGAGCGCCCTCCAACAACGCCGCTGCCGTCCAAACCAAACTGACAGAGGAGCTCGGCGGACCAGATCACCGTGGTGAAATGAGATTAGGCCACCTTATTATCCCAGCCTTAACCCGCTCGACTAAGGCATGCTACGCGTTTTGCAGAATAAGCTCTAGGCCACCTCTCATCCCAGCCTGGAGTCCCTGAACACTCGCATCATGACAGCATGGGAGGACAGGAAATGTCCTGCACCGTCAAAACCCGCAGGCGTTTCCGCCCTTGCGTCGAGTCCGTCGTCGGCACAGACGGTGGTTACAATGAATGGGCACTTAGCAGAAGGATGTGGCTTGGTGTTCCTGGTCATTGTTTCGTTCTATTGTTGAGTATCTATGGACCAAAGGCATTTATCTTAACAATGTTGAAAAGCGCCAGGACTTTCCGGACACCCTGTAAGATTAAGGATTTAAAATTTTATATTTGAGTACTTAATATTGAGCTTGAAATCTCACAGCCGTGGCCACAGCCGTAGCCGTGTTCTTGGAGATATTTGCAGCCGCCCCGGCCCACAGCCGTGGGGCTGCAGCCAGCCGCGGCTGCAGCCGGCCGGTGCAGACCTCTAATATCAAGTTATAGATATCTGGGGTTAGGCGAGATATCAGGTAAGGTTATCCAGGTCTTGTGAAACCAGGCCAATCTGGCCTTACTGCAAGGGAAAGTGCGACAGGTACCAGGTCTAATTGGTCACAGTCTGCACTTTTGCTCTCTGCTATTTGCTCATATGTGAGCATTGAGGACAGTACGGCGCACAACGAACACAGTGCACACCCCCGGTCTCAGTATTATCTAATCTACCTCTCAGCTCTCGCTGACCTCCCTCGCGACTCTTACCGTACCCCTCCCTGTCGTGGACCTCCCACCGTCCCACCGTCCCACCTACCCTCCATTCTCCCTCCGCCCAACTGTCCCACTGCTGTCCCGGCACGCACCTGAAGCTGCTGGGCTGCTGACAGGCGGTCTCCACAGCCTCCGCCAGCCGCCGGGCGCCGGCGCCGCCCTGCGCAAAGTGCGAGCAGATGACGGCGTCGGCGGCGCCGGCGGCGCGACACAGACGCTGGGTCAGCTCCAGTTCCGCGTCCGTGTCCGAGCTGTGGACGAGAGGGAGGGGGGGGGGGGGGGGTCAGAAGGGGGTCAGTCGTGTCACTAACAGGAACAGAACAGTCGCCGAGATGGGCAGAGGGTGACCGCCAGGACAGATTCAATGGAGGTTTTCGGCAGGGATTCTCAATAACCTGTGGGTGCCACTGCACACTTTCGTGGAGTATGTCGCGCAGATGGAATGTGTTCGAGACACCACGGTTCTTAAAATAATGCGACCAAGGATAAAAGATCGTTTACCCTACAATTACCAGCCTTTTGCTTCCTTTCCAACTCTAGACCGCTTTGGATCTCGGTACAATCCATTGGTTCCTACCGAGTCCTAAAGCGTTTGTTGAACGTTGAAACCATGTGCAAACATCTGCAACTATGGCGGCTGGCTCGCGAAGTTGCACCACATTTGTTCATCGTCGACCAATCAGAATCGTTTGCCGTGGCGGCGTTTGGCTGCGATACCGTTCAAATCGGACTGACTCGGCGAGAGATTGTGGCGCACACAGGCCGGTCGGCCGGCCGCCTGTTATCAGGGTCGGCCGCGGCCCCTTTGTGAATCAGATGTGAGTGGGCGACTGGCACCTGGGCGCTGAACCTCGCCGTGCAGCGGGCAAACAGACCCGGACCGGACCGGTCCCCAGCGCCCCTCCCTCCCCCGTCCCCCGGCTTCCGGACCGAGCCGGACGCTCAGCCCCCCCCCCTCCCCTCCCGACGGTATGAGGGTGGGTGGAGGGGGGGGGGGGGCGCCGAGTCCCGCGGGCCGATACCGATAGTCCGGCCGACTCGAGTGGAGGCCCGCTCCAATCTGAGCGCTATCGGGCCGAGGGGCAGGTGATGTCTGCCGGGCGTCGTATCCAAGGCCCGCCTCTCGCCAGGCATCGCGTTTCAGATCTGTCTGTTAAGCCGACCTTTGTCAGGTATCACCTGTGTGATTTGCCTTCCCTCAGGTGCCACCTTTCAGGCCAACTCTCGGGTATCACCTCTAGGATCGCCCTCTGTGACCCACCTCTGTCGGGCATTCCCTCCTGGACCGCGTTTTGTCATGTGTCGCCTCCCACGCCTGGCTGCTGGCACTAGAGTCTGGAGTCTGGACCACCCATGTCAGAGGCAGACCGCAGCTCACAGTGTCATTTTAAACATTGCGTTGTTAGTCTGACTGCCAACCCCGCCTTACCCAGCATGCCCTAACTGCTCTCGTTACGCAGAAAATACTCAATGAACAGTATCTTGGAAGATTCGATCGGAATTATACTTTGCCAAAAAGCATCAGAGGTTCTGATTCCAACATCACACGTCAATATATGCGCTGTGGTATTGGAACTGCAAACCTCATATTGAGCAGTTAAACCTTCTTTTGAGAAAAAGAACAAAAGCGCAGATGCAAACCGTAACACGGGCGCATGTTGACGTCTAGTATCAGTATCCACCACTTAACCCGGCACTCGGCAGTTGCTGGGGTATTTCGCCACCCACCGTTTGCTGAGGGGGGGGGGGGGGGCGTTAAACGCCCCCAGCCGATAACTCGAGAACCAATAGGCGCAGCGAAACGCACGAGGCGGCACACGAAAGAACGCGACGAGGCGCTTCAGATGAGTACTTTAAAGTTGAATTTTGAGGTCACAGGTCGGGTCAAGGTCAGGTCAAATACCTGAAATCGGGCTTTCAGTAGCATGGACTTCAGGACTTCGCAATGGGTGCCTCTCGTCATAAACTCTGTCAAAACGGTGCACAATCCATCATATAAGGCCTACAAGAGTGTCAGTTCCATGTAGGGGTCAGTCAAGCATAAGTCAGGGTCAAGGTCAGGTCAACCGGGTAGGCACATATCCCCGAAAATCAAGGCTGATATTCGCAGCCTGTGACACATGTTCTATGGGTAATTTGGGGCGTAGAACACGATGGTGACATTCATTTTATCATATGTGTACGTGTTTGGCCCAAAAAGTTCAATTTAAGAAATGCATGTATCATGGTCGTGAAGTAGTCACGAGAAATTGCCAAGATTCAGTTCAAGATTTTGGAAAATGCGGAACGATAATCAATAATCGAAGATAGCCATTTGATTGTTCATGGTATTGGCAGTCTAATGGCGTTTACGGCATGTCTTTATTCTATTCTGTGATTTTATATGATTTTTTGAACATATGCCGTTTTTGGTCGAAAACTCAGAAATCATGACGTCACTAAAACCTCGATATCTCAAAAATTTTCCGACCGATTTTTTTTTTGAAACTTTGCTACAATAAACTTCAGTCAATTCCCTACAGGTACCAAAAATTGGGCGCGCCTTTATGCTATGGTCCGGCGAAAAAGTGGGGGCGTTTAGCGCCCCCCCCCCCCCCAGCAACTCGCGGGTTAAGCCCTGAAATGTGGTCAGCTAACACATCCGCGGCCTGGCCAACCGGCCCGTTTCCTGAACATGTTTGTACCAACTCCGCTGTGGTTGGTAGGCCCAATGACATCAATACCGGGACAGAGCAGAGAGCGGCGGCAGTCAGTCTACCACAGCCGAGTCATAGCTCCGAGAGATGACAGACCGGGCGGGGGGATGACGAGACTAGGCGGGGGGGGGGGGGGGGTGACGCGCCTTGACGTGGGGGGGGGGGGGGCTGACGCGCGCTGCGCACACGCATGAGGTCACCGGAAGCCGGATATCTTGGCACAGAATTCCGATGGCCACTTCCCGGGATAGTGGCATGTCGCCAGTCTGCGTCATGTTTGTCAATGTAACGGTGCAAACACGGCCGCAGTTTCAAAGAATGACTACCTATGCTGGAAACTTGGCGTGCGTTGTGAATGAGGTTAAAATCAATCAAAATGAGGTTAAAATCGCGGCAAAACTTTCACTTCTAATGGGCTACAATCTACGGCAGAAACAACGTGTCTTTGAAATGAAACCAGCGTATGAAACATCAAGTATAATATCTTCCTCGTAAGTCGCATTTGAGACATAGCCTTGGAGTTCAATCGCTTCCGCAGCTCACCTGAATCGATTGATGGCTACCACCACCGGTACTCCAAACTTGAGCGTGTTCTGAATCTGCTTGTTCAGGTTGGCGAAGCCCTTCTCCACCAATGATGTGTTCTCCTGCAAAGAAAAGGTAGGTACATCAGGCGCCTGCAGGCAACGGCAGCAACGGCGGCGGGAACAGATTCATACACAGCCGACTCGATCATAAATTAACCAACCATCGTAAATACAGTGGCAAGAAAAAAAAAAGATACCGGGAGATATCGAGGTCGACTACTTATCTAGGCATGTCATAGAATCGAACGCGAATTCGAAGGCGACGTGATGAGTGATGAACCGCTCGTCGCGGCAGCCGGTGCCGAGGGAGTCAACTACTGCTGTGGCGACTTCTTAACGAGCACCACTCGGCGCTCGCCATTCATCCCTATCGGCTATGGAGCCGTATATGGAACCGTTTGTAGATATAAACAGGGTTGGTAGCCGAAACGTGACTCGGTTTGCCGAAACATAAAGCATGACAAGTATATAATTTAACAATATGGAGCTATCTCCTCGTAAGATATTGTTTGGTGTTGATTCAAACAAACATTATGGTTTAAACCTATTGCTATTACTGGCCAAATCTTTTATATGGAAACAAAGTAAAAAAGGAAGTGATGTAACGGTGCGGTTGTTTTTGATTCATTTGCAGACGTTTTTTAATGTGCAGGTAGGTGTACATAGACTAAACGATAAAGCCGAAGAGTTTAGCACACTCTGGTGTGCTACGGCAAAAACCATTGGAGTGCTGTCTGGGCGATCGTGAAGAAGCGATCAATGAAGTGTCTGTATCAGTGGAAAACGATGTGCGCGAAACAAGCCCCCGCCCCTATGACCCATCCGGGCCAACCCGGGACTGGCCCCTACTGTGAGGGGCCAGTCGGCCGGCCGGCCGGGCGTGCGGAGCGCCGACCTAGACGGGTCGACGTTTCGCTCGCCCGGTCGGTGGTTAGGGGGCACCGCCGCGCCCGGGGTTGCTTGCCGGGCGGTGCGGGCGGGGGCTGGCGGCCCGCCTGGAGCGCCGGGGAGGTAGCCATCAGATCTCCCCGGCTGGGGAAGCAACCCCCAGCTCTCCCCAGGGCCGTGGACGGCACCGTCCCGGCCTGGCCAGGCGGGTCGCCGATGGTGACCACAACAATGTTTCATGCCGGTGTTTTTATGCGAATTATGTAAATAAAACTGTGGAAAAAAAGTATATAATTTAACGAGTTGGCTTACGAACACTGATTGCTGACACCGATTGCGTAGGTTAAATGGTGTCGACTGGGGGGGGGGGGGGGGTACAGGGGTAGCTCATAACTGAGTTGAGAAGTAAGAGGTCTTCACCGACTGACTCCTACATCCTCGCTAACGCAAAGGCACTAGAAACCTCTCAGTCTCGACCTACAGCTCGACACACTTGATGGACATATTCTCTTCCACTATAGTGGTGATCAATGGTAAAGGTCTTCCAGCACCCCTCAATAAGTACATGCTTTAAAAACTTGCCTAGGAAGTAGGAGTTATGCTGTTTGGCGTGTTACAAACATGACGTATTATCAAGTTCATGCTGAATTACCAAGGAACACTAAAGCTATGCATCCGTGTACTAGCTGCTCGCCTCAGGTTTTTTTTGGCCCTCGGGTGTGAAATTTCATTGTGCAATAGTCATGCATTGCTCATTTGGAGCCAATGCGATACGAGCTCCAGATTGCATGCCAAGTACATAAATGCCGGTTGACATGGGTCGCTCAAACAGTTCGTTTTCCTGCCGTCTCCGCCGAGGTGTGCACCGCTCCGCTCCGCCGCCATGAGCCGCCGTCCGCTGGTGCCGCTGCTGGCTCTGGCCGCCCTGCTGGCGCTGCCGCCCGCCGTGCGCGGCATCAACTGCTTCAAGTGCGACGACACAGCTCTCCAAAACCTGGTCAGCTCTAGCTTCAACGCCAGCATCGCTAACAGCTCACTGCTGGCCTACACGGTGCGCTCCGGATTAACGCCCTGTAAGCAGTTCAACCCGGAGAGCATCGAACTCAAGGTGGCGTGCGGGTCGGATGACCACAGCTGCTTTAAGAAAGTCGAGAGCGACGGTACGACGGTGCGCGGCTGCGCTACACACGACATCAAGTCCGACTCCTGCTCAGTCACCAGCGGCACGACAGACTGCTACTGCACCAAGGACTACTGCAACTCTGCCGGCCTGTCGACGCCGGCGCTGCTGCTGCTGCTGCCGGCCGCCCTGCTGGCCGCGCCCTACACTCGGCAGTGAGGCCGACACCTCTGCCCCGGCTCCCACCAGCCGGGCCAGTGCCTCTGGTTCCATGATGAGGGTCTACGGCCAGCCAGCTGATAAGCTGCAGTGAATTATGGCGCATCTTTTGTCACACTTAGACACGCTAGGCAGTCCCAGATCGAGAGCAAGACATGGGTGAAAGTAACAACTGCATCGTAACTACTAATCGGCCTCACCATTAGTATACGACCAGCATTACCACAACTCGGCAATGACGGCGCTCCGTCTTGCCAGAACAGTGGAGAAGCGATCCAGCCCATCAAATCGGGAGCCAGGACTGAATGTTCTTCCACTGCAGCACAGTGCCGGCTGCAGCGTTTGAACAGCATACCGAGCCTGATGTGAGACTCGTCTCAGTGTTTGGTGCCTGGTGGTCGGGTGCGCCAGACTCGCTTCAGGATGGCTGCCTGGTCATGTTCGACTTGTGTTGCGTGCCTCATATCCCCGGTGTTGTGATGCCCCCAGTGTTAGATCAGCGCTGTTCTCTGCTATTCAGCTATTGGTGATAAACTAGACACGATGTAGCTCGGAAATGCGGATTGGGAAATTCACCTTCGATCGATTCATTGATACATCTGATTATCGAGAATGGCGAGCATGGGAGTATTTAAAATATACGCTGTGTTTGGTATTGAAAACGGATAATTGACGCCGCATATGAGAAAAAACGGTTTGAGATACGCACACAGAGTTTTTTCGTTTGCACCAGAAATGTGCCGCTATCAGTGTGCCGCAATAAACAGGGTGTCCAGAAATGATTTGCCCCTCCATCAGCTCGCCGCCATAATTAATAAACAAAGAGCCCCAGGGTCATGGTTTATTTACCGATTTATCCCTTGCCCTGTCCTAACCATTCTCTCATCCGCTTTGGCATTCCATAGATCAAGATGTCCAGAGTATCCGCGCTGATGTTCAGCCACACCTTTCACAGGTTCCTCTAAAGTCCGTTTTCTGTGGGGGCTGGTTCAATCTTGCGGAGTTCCTCCTTCATGATTCCTCATAGGTTTTCGATTGGGATTAGGACAGAGGATTCAACTTGACTTCCTACTTCATTCCAGTCTTCACCATAACCTCAGCGCGATGACGCCTTGTCAAAGAGTTTCTTCCGTCATAGTAGACGCCACGTTCAGGTGCGAGTTACGCCTGCCAAACACTGGCTCCTGGCGCCTCGCAAGTGTCAAGGTCAGGTGACTGGGTTCGGTCATGTGACTAACGGACAGCTGTGGATAGGCTTAGGCACGGTTTAGCAAATTTTCAACTGTTCTTAAAGCGCACAGTGGGATTAGAACTGAATGAACAAGGGGCAAATAATTTCCGGATACCCTGTAATTACAAGATGAGCGCCATTTTATATAATGGTCCAAATATTGAAAGGAACACACATAAAATAAACGTCTTATTTAACATACGCTTGAGGTAGCGTGAGTTTTACCCAGAATACAGAGGTAAGGAGCTGTGCAAGACGAGCCACCAGGTCTGCAGAGTAGCGGCCGTATAACTTAAATTGTACCTACGCACAAACTTTGTTAAGACGAGAAAGAAAGAGAGAGCGAGAGAGAGAGAGAGACAGAGAGAGAGACAGAGAGAGAGAGAGAGAGAGAGAGAGAGAGAGAGAGAGAGAGAGAGAGAGAGAGAGAGAGAGAGAGAGAGAGAGAGAGAGAGAGACAGAGAGACAGAGAGACAGAGAGACAGAGAGACAGAGAGACAGAGAGACAGAGAGACAGAGAGACAGAGAGAGACAGACAGAGAGAGACAGAGAGAGAGAGAGAGAGAGAGAGAGAGAGAGAGAGAGAGAGAGAGAGAGAGAGAGAGAGAGAGAGAGAGAGAGAGAGAGAGAGAGAGAGAGAGACAGCGACAGCGACAGCGACAGCGACAGCGACAGCGACAGCGACAGAGACAGAGACAGAGACAGAGACAGAGACAGAGACAGAGACAGAGACAGAGACAGAGACAGAGACAGAGACAGAGACAGAGAGAGAGAGAGAGAGAGAGAGAGAGAGAGAGAGAGAGAGAGAGAGAGAGAGAGAGAGAGAGAGAGAGAGAGAGAGAGAGAGAGAGAGAGAGAGAGAGAGAGAGAGAGCAAATTCTTAAGCCCATACGAGATCACCTATACTACACCTTTTTGCACTCAAAATAGGCATCTTTTCATTCAATTTCGGCGAATTGCATTCAATTTTAGCGATCTCTCATTTGCTTCGAATAGAGAGATCGCTAAAATTGAATGCAATTCGCCGAAATTGAATGAAAAGATGCCTATTTTGAGTGCAAAAAGGTGTAATACGCATAGGCTATAAAATCTGTATGTAAATGCTGTAGTGTAATTGCTGTAAAATCCATGATCTGGGACAAGTTGAAAAAAAAAATACTAGAAACGCTGAGTGTCCTGTTACATAGTGCTCATCCATGCACAGGTGAACCCAACCACCCTTGGTTCCCGTGAACCAAAATATGTCTGGAGCAGCGGATTGTTCAATGGAACGGTGAGATCTCGTCTTCAAAATCTGTTTACAAATGCGAATGACATTGTGAAATTGCCTCGCACTTGGAATGAAACTGAATTTGCTAGGGATGGATTACGCTGTTAAATATCGGGAGAGAAACGCGCAATTCCTTAGGTTTCAGCGAAACATGATTAAAACTACAAGGTATAAGCAATTTTTTTTTTATAAATTTAGTCCGAACCTTTTGATGGGAAGGATTCACAAGGACAGAGCCACCGCTAAGCGAAGCTTGTTGCGATGACCCTGCCCTCTACCCTCCGATCGCGCAATTCCGATTCTATGGCAGAATTTAGAGTCCAAAGTTTAAC